TTGCGAGCCTAGATAGGACATACACATACAAGGTAAGTACAAAGAACAAAGGGAAAAGTAAATCAATACAAATCCAACACAGAAAAAAATGATAACATTGGGCAATAAGGCCAACTTGTAGTGCCTCCCTAGTCCGAGGAGCCACCAAACCAGGGACTCCCAGGAGGGGAAACAAAAAGTCCCATCCAGGACACGTCTCCCTTAAGGGGGACAATCCTATGCGGGTAACGTGAAAGGGCATAACAGGGGAGGGTGCGACCCTTCCCGGCCAACTTAGGGTGGCGCGTTCCTCCTGGGGAGGTAAGCTATGTGGGAGTAGACATCCTGAGATAATAAAACTTCAGTAGAACTTTAAGGGTGCGGGCAGAAGCAGAGTAGAAAAAGCCAGCATGAGCTCAAAAACAAGAACCGTGTTCGCAGAGTACCGCGCAACCACGGGGGTTGATCACGTGGGGGAGTTGCTGAAAGCAAAGCGAGTCCTGAGATCCCCGGGGTACAATCAGGTGTGCAAAAACATGGCAAAGTCACCATTTGCTTTCAAAAAGAGCCCTCAATGAGGTTCTGATGAGCCCCCCTGGCTTAGGGAAGGCGGGTCACGTCCTCCAGGCCGCCTAGGGGGAACAGTCTGCCAGGGGGGTTGGCAAGCTGGTAGCGGTATTGCAGGAGACACATTCCAGTCTAGCAGCTAAATCTTGGGGAGGTCAAGAGTTTTCAAAAAGCCAGGGAGGTCACCCATTTCCGTCAGGTATACTGTCTTGCCTTCTTTGCGGACCAGCAGGCGGAAGGGGAAGCTCCAGCAATATGGGAGCTGCGCCTTGCGAAACGAGTCCAACAGAGGGCGCAGTGCTTTCCATTGCATAAGCGTGCGTTTAGATAAGTCCGGGAAAAATTGGAGCGTAGCGCCATCAAACTCCAACTGGGGCCTATCCCTCATAATAGACATAATGGCCTCCTTCACAGAGTATTTGTGTAGTTTACAAATCACATCTCTAGGTTGATCCACATTAGGGGAGGGTGGACCCAAGGAGTGGTGTGCTCTGTCTATTTCTATAGGGTCTCCAGTAACAGGCTTAAAATACTCCGTAAGATGCCCTGCAATGTGGGGACAATGTCCTTAGGCCCCGTGGCTTCAGGGAATCATCTAGTTGGTTCAAAAGGGTAGCGATCTGCCTGTCATGTGTGGAGCTGCGCTCTCTAAGGAGGGACATGGCCACCAATGAATCATCCTGTAAGGCTTCCAGGGAGTCCACTCTATTCCCCAAGTGTGCAGTCTCCTGCCTCATTTCAGCAATGTCCTGCTCCATCCTGTTCATAAACATGTACAGGTCAGCCTTAGTGGGGAGAGACCAGATATGTGACCTAAGGTCTGCATCCCCTGCCAGCATATCAGCAGCCGGGCTCTGTGGCCGGTGTGTGCCCGGGGAACTCCCCGCCGTAGCATCGCTTACCCCAGCCGGGGGCGAGGGCCCAGCGCGATCTTCACTGGCTGGCCGGTCCGGCACCATCTTGGATGCAGCCCTGTCCTCGCTGCCGCGATCCGCGAAGAAGGCGTCGATGGCGCCCTTGCGAGTCCTCGGTGTCCGCGGGAGTTGGGGGTGAGTATCTCTTCTTCCCCTGCTTAGGTTGTGACCCCTCTCCGGTGCATAGATGTTCAGATGTTAGCGTATATGTAAGCGGCCGGGACGGGAGCTCTCACAGGCACGTCCTCACTCCTTCATGCCCAAGCCACGCCCCCAGCAGCCTTCCTTTTAACCAAGCTTGTGTGCACATCACTTCCCTTCTCCTTCCAATACTTGTCTTGTTAACACTAAACTCTCATTCACTTCCTGGGTTTTATCTATGAAGTATGGGATAGCTCATTAACATTTATTCACAACAAGGTGAAGAGTTTGGAGAAAGCAGAAGAGGTGAAGAATCTAGGACAACATAGCTGAACTGGAAAGTGAGCTGAATTGGAGAATCTTTCCAAATCAGCTATGTTGTCCTAGATTGTTCACTTCTCCTGCCTTCTCCAAACTCTTCACTAGGGAGGGGCCGAGTGTTCGATTCGAACATGAGTTCGAATCGAAAATCGGCAGTTCGAGTGCTCGACGAGCGCCGAACTTTATGGGATGTTCGCGGTCTGTTCGACCGCGTACATTCCATAATACAGAATGCCCACTGAAGCTCTGATTGGGCAAAGTCTTGCACCTGACCACAGGTCAGGTGCAAGACTTTGCCCAATCAGGGCTCAGCGGAGGAGGGGCCTGAAGGTATGGCTCCCAGCCTGCAGACGAAGTGGAGGCAGGGGGCGGGGCAGAGGAGCCGCGGCCGGACTGAAGGAGAAAAGCCAACGGACCGCAGGGACAGCGAGCAGACAGACCAGGGGACCGAAGGCTGGGACAGCGAGTGGACGGACCAGGGGACCGGAGGCCGGGACAGCAGCAGAGGTAAGGGGGCCAGTACACTGTATTTATTACATGTACCGGCAACTGTATGGGGGTCGAACATTCGACCCCCATACACTTGCATTGAGTTCGATTTCGTATTCGCACATTTCGGCCATTCAAATGTTCGAATACGAACCGAACAGGGGGGTGTTCGGCTCATCCCTACTTTTCACCCCTTTGTGAATAAACCCTGTAAGAAAAAATGTTCATCCATTAGAAATTGTATGGATTTCTGGCTAAAACAGTCTAAGTTGCTAGCAGTAAATATATGCAAAAAAAGGAAGGTTTAATTCTACTTTAAGGGCTTTCCCGTTTTCTTCATTTTGCATATTTTCTTTCCTTCTGTCATATTGATAGATTAATGTTCCTTTGGTGTATTCTAGTGATAGTTCCTGCTCAGGTCTTGTTTCTAGAGCATTAATAAGAGCACTGTATGACTCTGGAAGGCTGCATAGCAGTAATGCCACCATGTGATTATCTTGAACTTTCATAGCTGGTAGTTGCTATTGTTGAGCTTTGTGATTGCAAACTTCATATCTGAACAGCAAACCATCTTTCGGTAGCTTGGATGCAGCACTTGTTGACTTGCAATATTCTGTTTAGTGCCTGGGCCCATAACCTGTTGGTTATGTGTTTAGAGGAAGCACTGAGATCTTAAGGAATGCTGAATTACGTTTATTTTGCTTAGAAGGACGTTACATGTTTGTATACAGGAATACAGTATTATTAGGAAACAATATATATCTTAGATAAGTATACATAAGCATAGCTACTAACATTGCACTACAATGCCATCTAGTGCTTAAAAGACATAGTTGCCCAAGTAATACAATCAGTATACTGTTGTATTTCCAACATTTCCAACAAAACTTACAGGTAAAAAGGGCAACATCTTTCTACGGTTTTGCTTTCAAGCAAATTCATTCCTTCTGTATGTTTGCCTAATGTAGGATATTACTTTTATTTAATTAGGACAGACTAGTGTTTCAGTGCATGTTTTGGTATACATTGGGGTCTATTCACGAAGCTGTCGAAGGATCTAGCCGTAGCTTCGGCCGATCCTTTGGCTAGCTTCGGCCGATCCTTTGGCTAGCTTCGGCCCCAGGACCCCTTCGGTTCAGTAGAACCGAAGGGGTGCTGTATGGGCTATTCACTATAGCCCGTATAGGTCCCGAACGTGGCCGAGCGGCTCAGTTGAGCCGAACGCATATGCCTCGGCTCGGCTGAGCAGCGCTGAAAGCCGAAGCTGGCCGAGCGGTAGCCTGCTTCTGACAGCTGGGCGGAGCCAGCCGCGATCTTACGGCTGGCTCCGGCCACTTGCAGAGAGATCAGCGTCCCTGGTTACCTGCTAACCAGGGACACTGATCTCCAAACCACAAACTCTCCCTGGCGCTCTCCCGCTCCCGGCCGCCAAGGAGAGAAACACTGCTCTATCTTTTTTTTTTTATTCTGACACGGAGCCGTGTCAGAATAGGAAAAAAAATATTTTTTTTTGCCCATTGGAATGCATTGCTCTTATTGGCTATTTCAATTTGCAATAGACAATAGTAAACTAGCATTGTACCCGCCCTCTGCTGATGGGCCTGATGGAGAACTGCAGCAGGGGGCGGGTACAATGCTAGTTTACTATTGGCTATTGCAAATTGAAATAGCCAATAGCAATCTAGCAATGCATTCCAATGGGCAAAAATGTTTTTTTTTTTCTTTCTATTCTGACACGGCTCCGCGTCAGAATAAAGAGAGGAGTGTTTAAAGCCCAGGAGTGTTTTTTTTCTCTTTTTTTTTGACGGCAGCAGAGCCGCCGGACAATAGAAACTAGCTCCGCACAATCGCTCTCTATTTACTTTTTTTTAAACTTCTTTAACTGTTTTTCTGTTCTGCTCGGTCCCTCTGAGGTCCCTCGGCTACTCACTCACTGCTGTTCGGCATCTATAAGAATAGGCCGAACAGTAGTGAGTAGCCTGCAGGAGGTTCAGCTCAGCCGATCCAGATGTTGGATCGGCTGAGTCGAACTCCTTCTGCACTTCGTGTCGGCCGAACATGCTGAGCATGTTCGACCGACCCGAAGCCAACCGATGTAGGCTAATTTCAACCGATGTATGGCTAATTTCAGCCGATATACGGCTGAAATCAGCCGTACCAGCCTGAAGTGAATAGCCGAACAGTGTTCGGCTCACTCCAGGTCGGTCATTCACTTGGCTGCCTACGGCAGCGTAGTGAATAGACCCCATTGTGTTTAGAATTATATGGTTAATAGTGTCTTTGAGTTCAAATAAGTTATTGTAATTGTTCTCCCTACATGTAGTAACTTTATGACTTGCTAGCTGTAATTATAACTCTGAATATTATTAGGTGCCAGAAATTCACAAATATTTCTTAAGACTTGTGTTGACATCATTTAGTCAAGCAAGGTATACAATTGGAAGAAATTCAGTATGCCGATTCTCTCCATATGATTAAAATCCAAACAAAATCCTAATATTATTTCACAATTCTATATGAATGTATATTGTAGCCTATTACACGTTCATGAAATTAGAAATAACATGTTTAATATAATTTATTGTTTAGGTGAAAGCAATCCTACAAGAATACAAGAAAATGTAAAAAAAGCCAACAATGGGAAACACACTCTATATTGTCTTGCTTTTGGTTATAGTGTTGATTATCCTTTTCTGGAAAAGTTGGCTCTAGAAAATTCTGGAATTGCTCGACGTATTTATGAAGACGCAGATGCAGATTTACAGTTGGAGGTTAGAACTTGCTATTTTACATCTTCATAAATATCTTTTTTTTTCTCTTTTTAAAATTGAATCCTGTTAAAAGCATCCTGCTGTTGTTATAGAAATCCCTCATCCTGAAAGATCAGTTCTTGCCTTCATAAAATTTTGTGTTGGTATATGTAAAATATGACTTACAACTTACAGTACCAAAACATCTATACTAGTCAGCGCCACCTAGAGGCACGACTCCCATGTGAATAGCATCCACCCAGTGTATAATTGTTGAAACTAGGGATGCACCGATACCGATACTAGTAATATAGTAATAGTAAATAGTAACAAATATGTAATATATTGCAGCTTACTATTCCTTAAATGTGGTGGCTGCATTGGTTTTCTGATTTTCTGTTTTGTTTTACTTTTATTTTCACCTGGTAATCCAGTCAGTAAGTCTGTTATTTTTCAAATTCCTTTAATAGACCAAGGTGTCCAACAAAAGAGGCATATAGAGGGATGAGACTGACAGGGGTGTTTACAATGGTTAGCTTTAATTCACTTATATAAACCTTTTATGCCAAAAAGATTTTAAAAAAACGGAACTGCTTAAAAAGTGTTGGCTGGAGTTTGGATTTTATTTGTCAGGCAAGTCTACCTAAATTTGCTAGTATATGTAACACTACCCCTCTCCATAGGTTGACAATGGTGCTGTCCAAGGGTGGCTCCATTGTTCCTCTATAGAGTGGAACCCTAACACAGGAAGTGTGTTACTGGCCAGATCACCAGGTAGAAAAAAAGAAAAGCAATGCAGCCAACACATTTAAGGATTAGTAAACTGCAATATACATGGGGGGGGGGGCTTAAGAAATGCATGCCAAGCTAAGCCCCTCCAATCACATTAAAATTAAACATAAGTGTGATTACAATTCATATAATCAACTCTAACGAAGAGTTAGTATGGAATCTAGCAAACATGTATAGCCACCTTGCCATAAGCATTAGGACTCCTTAACTTTAGTTGTGCTGGACAGTAGCCAGTCAAAGCTAATTAATAGTTCTGTGCTAATTTGCTTTCCCCTAAGCCTAGTGTTGCTGTTTGTTTCTGCCTGCTGCTGGGAAGTGACCCTGGTAATAGAGCCAGAATAATCAATAATGGTGGGTTCTATTTGTGACTCCCTGGCTAATCACTAGGAGGTTTAGTGCAAGTGGTGCATACTAGGAGGACATAAATATTTGGGGCTGACCTTGTGAGTTCTCTTCCTCCTGGGCTCCTGCCTCAGGGAGGATACTTGTTGTGCTGTGTAGCCTGGTCAGATCCTCAGGTGGTTAGCAATAGAGGCCCAGTGTCGAGGGCCTGAAGCTGTCCTGCCAGTGTGTTGGGAAGCTGACCCAGGATGCTGACCCAGGATGGAGAACCAGGGAGAGTGACTCTCCTGGAAGTTGAAGCTAAGTGAAGGCTGGAACCTGGCAGGGACCTGGAGACCTGGGAGAACAAGAAGATGTCTGTGAACCAGCTAAACTTTTGTTGTACACAGTGTTGCTGTGTTTGGCTTAAATGCTCTCTGCACTGTGGAACTGGGAAGTAGTCAGTTAGTCTGGAAGTCATAAAATCAATTCTTACATTATAACATTGTTACCCATGTTAAAAAGTTGGACTAAACATTGAAAAGAATGCACCCATATGTGTATGTTTCACATAAGAACCTATTACCATAAACCTTTCCATAATGGTTCCATAAACCTTTCCATTGGATAAATATTATACCTTTGAATCTGTCTTGAGTACTCAGGAATCTCCAAAATAGAGCATGTGTATGTACCAACTTTGCTTTTCAAAGTCGGGGGCTGACGCAGCTACTACCACTTACCATACTTCACTATTGATTTCTGAGCCTATCAATGCAGTTTAAAGTGGAACTCCAATTAAAAAATTTTTTTCCTTGCAATAAAGTGGGAAAGGTTAGGACCAATGTTGGGTTTTTATTGTTGTCTGTGTCCCCACTGGGGAAAGTTATTCCCACTTTTTGTCTTCGTGACTGCATACGAAATAAGGGGAATTTCCCCAACAGGGAGAAGGCAATGAAAACATTACATAGGTTCTAAGGGGTGAATCTCCTTGTTTAGGAAAGACGAAACACCTCTGGAGAGATCCAGAGCCATACTGTGGCATTCTACTAGTTGGTAAATGTCTCTGGGAGTAGATTACTATATACAGCATACTGTAGGTGTTCTGTAGTTTTGTGTGTGGAAGAATGGCAGTGAGTGGTTACTCTTTTATGCCTTTTGCGTGACTTTAAAAACTACAAACCAGTCTGTGCTTTTAATATACCTATATACTGGATCTCACAAATAAATCAAGCTACAATACTGAAAACAATATATAAGCTTATCTGCTGAGTACTACAACACTAGTTTTCTTTTTTCTTTTTTATCCTTAGGGGTTTTATAATGAAATTGCAAACCCAACACTGGTGGATATACAGATGCAGTATCCTGAGAATGCGATAGCTGATGTAACTAAGAACAATTTCAAACAATTCTTTGATGGCAGTGAATTAGTTGTAGCTGGACGTCTAACTGATAATGACTTGAATTCATTTACCGTAGATGTGAACGCAGAAGGGGTAAGTAGCAGGGATGCACTGATACCATTTTTTAAGACCAAGTACAAGTACTTTCCCTCAGGTAGTTGGCGGTACCAATTACCGATACTTTTTCTTAAAGGGACATATTACATTTTTTCTAAAACATTGCAGACAAATGATTTTTGGACAGTTTCTATATAATTATGAACTGTAACTCAATCCATGATAATTCTTGTCCTGATACAAAAAATAATTTTAACCAAAACCATATTTAAAGCAGAACTATGGGGTTAAGGCTTTTCCCCATTGTTCTCCTTAGGGTAACGGGAGGACACAAACTAGCATCCTCCCGTCACCCTAGCCTCAGTATACCGCGAGCTGTAGCTCGCGGTATACTGAGACGCCGCAGCTGAAGCGGATCCCAACAATTGTGCCGGGATCCGCCCAGCTGCGTGAGTGACAGCTGGCTCTGCCTATCTAGAGGCAGAGCCAGCTGTACCCGCCCCCTCCCTCGTCCGTTCCGCCAGTCAGCGCTGGCGGATCGGAGCGGGGAGGGGGGAATCCAGCCCCTTCCCTGTCACGGCAGATAGCCTTGACAGGATCGAGAGGTGAGCGAACGCCGGGATGGGTTCGCTCACCTCCCGATCTACTGAGCCGACCTGTGACAGTCTCATTGTCACAGGTCGGCTACAACTATGAGGTGAGTGAAAAGCACTCACCTCATAGTTCTCCTTTAAGCATGCTAAGAAGCGCTTCTCATTGGTTAGCGTGTGGATGGCAGTATGGGGTACTGATAGTACACCAGTACCAGCGTAGGGGAAGGACCATTCCACAAAAGGTACGTATAGCAGGGGGAGGGGGGGAGTTGGCCAGATTTAAGCAGGTAATTCCATTTTCCAAAATTACTTGGGAAAGTGAACTTACCCTCTAATGTGCATTGTGCGTGTGAGAGAACACACACACAATGCCCTACGCATGCGTTTATCCACACGCAGATGGCGGGGGGAGTGTGTTACCTTTTTATCACTTTTGTATTTTATTATTTTTAAATGTTTACATCTTTTTCATTTTGTTATCACTTTTTAAATTTTTATTTTATTATTTTTTTTAATCACTTTTTTAATTTATTTTTTTCCCTTAACTTTTTATTGATATCACACATGTGTTATAATTAGGAGGTGACAGGCGCTCTTTATGAGCCTGCCCTCCAGTACAGAAAATCCAGCACAGAATTGTGCTGGATTTTATGTACAGCTCCACATGTGACAGCATCATTGCTATCATATGGGGGGGCTCTCCTTCAGGTCCTCCTTTGCTAATTGAGAACAGACAGTGGGCTGGTACAATAGCCAGCCTGCTATTGGCTATTGCAATTTAAAACAGCCAATAGCAGGCTGGCTATTGATCCCAGCCGCTGGATGAGAGTCTTGTCTCAGGCTTTCTAGCAAGAGGGGGCACGGGGAATGGAGGATTACAAGAGGCTGAGAATAGATGCAGGCACTTACACTAGCTGCATTTAGAACGATATTAATCCTTGAAGGACCTCATAACTATTATTGTTTTTAAATAAAAGAGTTCAGCTTTAAAAATGATTCTAAAACAATGCATGAAATTACTATATACAATTATTTTAGCATACTTTACAATTGCAAACAAGTAAAATAAAACCATATTTATAGTTCAATAATTGAATGTATAAATCACAAACATTTTGTTGTGTACACAGGCAGACCAATCATTGAAATACAGTGAAAAAATTGATCTCCAAGACAAGGATGGAGCCAGCAAAAAACTGCAATATATATTTGGTGACTTTATAGAGAGACAATGGGCCTATTTAACCATACAAGAACTGCTAGAGAAACGGTATGTCCTTGTAAGAAATGTTTTATATAGTTTACATGACATGGCTGTGCATCCATAAATATTCATGCGTTTGCTACTTGATATTATGACATCACCATCACATTTGCAATAGGAGTTTGATACCAATCCATGATCAATAAGGTGAATCCCAGAAGTAGGATCTATAAATGAATGTATGACAGCAGTGCATACTGCCTTTGAAAAGTATGGGAAGCCTATTGAAATGTCAGACAGTACTGTGTGAAACCTAACAACTGTACGCTACTTTCACGTTTGAAGGCTGCCAGCCAGGGTCCAAAACTGTTATACTGAATTATTAAAGGAGTAACGGGAGGACACAAACTAGCGTCCTCCCGTTACCCTAAGCATGCTTAGAATAGTAATGACAACATTCAGAGGATAGGGATGCTAATCTGCAATGTGCAAAAACCAATTACAAAGCTAATGTGGGCAATTGCGAACTTTATATAAACCTTACTTAATGGAATAACATATATGTGATTTGGACTTGTGTTGTATCACACTAAATAAACCTGGAAAAGGTGGGTAACAAACATATGAGATATATTCTTTCTTGATCGTGAGATGAAATAACATCTAGTGGCATATACAGTATATTTGGACTGTTTGCTTAGGTTAGTGTTGGTAATAGTACATGTTTGCCTAAATCAGCCTTTCTCGACCAGGGTGCCATGGCATCCTGCAGTGCCTTCTGGCTTCCTCAGGGGTGCTTCAAACATTTTTGATGGTAGGACTCTGATGTGAAGGTGGAACTGAAGGCTTCTAATGTAAAAGGAGGGGTCTCTGATATGAAGTGGGCTACAGATGTAAAGGGGGACTCTAGTGTGAAAGGCGTTTCCTGATTTCAAGGGAGGCTGTGATATGAAGGGGTTTCCAGATGTGAAGGAGGAACTCTACTTTTTTGTGCGGGGTCCCCCTTAAAACTCTATATTTTGGCCTGGGATGCCTAAAGATTCTGCATACTTTTGAAGGGAAAAAAAAGGTTGAGAAACACTGGCCTAAATCATACAGAACACAAGAGAAGAAGCTTAACAATAGCCATATAAACAAAGATGTCGTTATAATGACTGTATCAAGGATCTATAACATTTCATGGTTATTGACATGCATCACTCAACAGTAGCAATCGTGAAAAAGGATGAAAAATTATGATTATGAAATAAATCTTTTTTTTTTCTTACATGAGGCCTTCCAATTATTTAGGAATCCATAAATCTGTGTTTATTTATATCAGATTATGTATATCTTAAAAACGTTTGTAAGTATCTTCACTGCATGTTATATTATTGTAGGTAGTCTCAAAAGCTTTGAGACATTCTTTTTGGGGTTACACATATTTTGCCTATAACCTCTTGCCTTTTAACTCCTGTGGTGGAGGCAGTGAGCAGTCCTTACTCTTGCACTGAAGGGCACTCATGTAATCACATGTAAGTGACGTCGAGTGAAGTTGCATGCTCAGTCCGGGCCGGAGGGATAACGCATCCTCAAGTAAAGTGTGTAAATGACAGACTGTGCTCAGAGGAAGTGGGTTGAATGATATTGATTGTATGTCAACCCAGAACAGAAGTATCATCTGCTGGAAGAGCGGATCTGCTTTAAAAGGTGAGTATTGCAACAGAAGCTGCTTTTTTATTTTTTAAGTGCTGGCCTGTGGATTTTAGGCAGAATTCTACTTTAAATCATGGGATTAACAAGTGACTGTTGTAAACATCCCTGCAATGTAATAGTCGGTGCCAGTCACTGTGACTAATATTTTTAACTAGGGATGCACCGATACTAGTATCGATATCGGTGCCGATACCGAGTATTTGGGCAAGTCCTCGTAGGCTGGGTACTGGAGGAAGAAAGTTCCTGGCTGGAGAGGCCCCGGGGATGACAGGCTGGACATGCCAAGGTGAGAGGGGACAGGCTGGGATGGCTTTCTTGTTAATCGGGAAGCCAGGTGGCGAGTCTATACACACTCTCCAGCTTCCCTGCTAATCAGGAACCCAGGTGGTGAGTCATTACACGCCACCTGGCTTCCTGAATGGGACTTCCGGAACTCGGTAATTGGTATCTGCGAGTACCGAAAAAAATTTAGCGGTACTCATACTCGGTACCAAAATACCGGTATCGGTGCACCCCTATTTTTAGCCAACAGTTTGGTCTGCATGTGTGCTTTCAGTGTACTGCCCTTATTTGCAAAAATGAGTGGTTCAGATTGCATTGGTCCCTTTTCCCTCCTTTATCAGCCCTCCCTCATATCTTTCATGCATACAATAATCAGAGCCAGTATTGTATTAACTAATGAGTGCCGTTTAGCTTTTATATTTACTATATTTTCAAACAAGTTCCTAGATAAGTACATTTTGTCAAATGAGTAAATTTGTTTTGATAACATTTACCTTATTTCACCTTTCTAGAATCCATGCCAATCCATCAGAAAAAGCAAACCTAACAGCAAAGGCACTTGAACTCTCTTTGAAGTTTAATTTTGTGACTCCTTTAACGTCAATGGTTGTTACAAAGCCAGAGGACAAAGAAAAGGAGGAAGAATCAATGATTGCTGATAAGTTCGTGGAAGGTACAGAAATCCCAAAACACAATTTGTTTCCCAGATCTTTGCAAAGAACACCCAGACATGTGTAGTGTGAAAAATTAAAAACAAGAAATTGATTTTTGCTTGCACGTGATTGGCTGATCTTAATCAGCACAACTTCACCCCATTCACTAAGCTAAGTGAATTTTCTCTTTCAACGTGAATTCACATAGTGAAAGAGGTAAAGTTGTATTGACTTCATTCTTCCCGTTAGATGCTTGCAACAATTCTGTTTTTCAATTCTCTTTGCCCATAATTTAGTACTCTGCAAAGTGAATTTTCACTTTGTTTCACCTAATTCAGTACGATAGATTAAAATTCACTTTTAAAGTGAACCTGCTCTACTCCTTTAGTAAATCATGGTTACTGAGTTATATAAAACTAACAAAAGTATGCCCATTTCGGAATGGGAAAGGTTGTGATTATAACAATTCTAAGCATCCTGAGGAGGTAATTTATTCTGGAAAATAATGTAAATGGAGTGACATCAGGCATTATGTGCTGGTGTACAGTGTAGACGGTATGACACTGGGAAGTATGTGCAGGAGAGGAGTGCAGAAGGTATGACAGTGTAGCAAGGGCAGGAGAGGCATGCAGAGGATATCACAGCGGGAAGTATGTGTAGGAGAGGTATGCAACAGAAGGCAGGATGTTCAGGAGAGAAGTACAGAGGGTATGCCAGTGGACAGTATGTGCAGCAGAGGAGCACACAGAGAATGACAGCAGGCAGTTTGTGTAGGAGAGGAGTGCAGAGAATATGACGGGTGGAGGCATGTGCAAAAGAGGAGTGCAGAAAATATGATAGGGGGAGGTATGTGCAGGTGATGAGTGTGGAGGGTATGACCAGTGGCGAAGCCAGAAATTCCGTCACGTGGGGCAAAGACACAAAGTTGTTCCCCCCTGTTAAAAATTATCCATCCACAGCCCCCATTCCCACTCCACACTTCTGGGCTCTCTACTTTTGTCACGGCGGTGTCCCTCCTGATCCACCACAGAGGTGAGGCTTGAAATCACCTCATTCTCCAGTTCTGCTTTGTTAATTTAAGATTTGCTTTGTTAATTAAAGATCTGCCTCTGGGCTCACTTCTATTTTCTCCTTGCAAGTGTGTGCTGTGTTGCTAAACAAATTAGTCACAGTGGCGTGAACCAGTGACAACAGTCTCTGCAGCAGAGGAGCTTATACATGTCCCCTCACAGTCACATCAGTACGAGTACTGGTACTTTTCCTCAAGTACTCACCGATGCCAATTACAGATACTTTTTTTTTTGTTTTGTGACAGTTTTTCCAAAACAATACAGACTAATGATTTTGGGACAGTGGTGGAGCACCAGGGCCCGGTCGCAGCTGCTGCAACCCTGATAGTTCTGCCACTGACTCCAAGCTGTAGAGGAACTACAAATCCCAGTAATACATTATACAGCAATGCAGAATACCACCGGCTATAGAGAGCAGCAAATCCCAGGAATACAATATACAGCAATGCAGAATAGTATATGATTATGCTAGATACTCTGTGTTGCCGCTCTGCTCTGGGGTGCCAGCCTGATGTCTCGATAGGAGGGTCTCAGCAGGGGCAGATGAAGGGTTTCAGTACGGCAAATGGAAAATTGCACCAGGACTGATGGAAGATCACAGCAGGGGCAGATAAAGGATCTCAGAAGGGCAGATGGAAGATCGTAGCAGGGCAATTGAAGGACCTTGGGAGGGCAGATGGAAGATTGCAATAGGACTGATGGAAGATCTTGGCATGTCAGATGGAAGATCTTGGCAAGTCAGATGGAAGATCGCAGCATGCAGATGGAAGATCGCAGCAGGGCAGATTGAATATCACAGCATGGCCCCCTGAGGATCTCAGGGGGCAGGTGGAAGATCGTAGTAGGGCAGATGGAGGATCTCAGGGAGGTAGATGGAAGATCACAGCAGGACTGATGGAAGATTGTAGCAAGGGCAGATGGAAGATCACAGCAGGACAGATGGAGGATCTCAGCAGGGCAGATGGAGGATCTCAGCAGGGCAGATGGAGGATCTCAAGAGGGCAGAGGGAAGACCACAGCAGGGGCAGATGGATGATCATAGCAGGGGCAGATGGAGGATCTCAGCACGGGCAGATGGAGGATCTCAGCACGGACGGATGGAGAATCTCAGCAGGGGAGAAGGAGGCATTCAGGGGGGCAGACTAAAGATCCCAGCAGGGGCAGAAGAAGGGTCTTACCATGTCACAGCAGGTCTCATGTGTGGGCCGGCGCTGTATACATGCACTGCTTTGGTTCCCCAGAAGGCTGCTGTGAGGTCCCCAGGAAAAGTGGGACCTTATGGTAGTGGAATCTTTAAAAAAATTTAAAATGACATGCCTCCTCCAATGATGGTGGACCTACTGCGAGGCTGGGGGTAGTTGGGGCGCGCAGTGCAATCTGTTCCCTCTCCCCCCCCACCCCCACCAGCCTTGTGTGTTAGGTCTGTTCCTAGTTAGTTGTTTACACTGTTGGCGGTGCCCCTCCTAATGCAGTGCCCGGGGAAAATGCCCCCCGAACCACCCCCCCAGTTTTGGCCTTCGGTGTGACAGTGGGTAGTATGTGCAGGAGAGGTGGATTGTAAAGGGTTTGCCAGCAGGCATTATGTGCAGAAGAGGAGTGCAAAGCATATGACAGAAGTTGAAAAGGAGACCGCAAAATGTAAAAAGGTCATTAGCAGGGTCTACAGTATGTCCAGGAACAGTGGTTAACACACATTTACTGTGCACAGAAGGGTTATTACACATGGACTAGAAACGGGTTGCTAGGGATTAACACGTTGTCTGCTGGTGCCTGGCTGCTAAAAGATAAATGCACATACGCTGGGTACTGGCAGGTAAAGCTAGCTATACACCTATCGATTATCTGCAGATTTTCTATGGTCAGATGGAAAAAGTGCCACAGATTCCTCCATCTACGCTAAACTGTGTGGATGGAAGAATCTCCCACTGGGCCAAGCTTCAGAATCTTGCTAGTCGGCCCCGCTGGCTCTCAAAATACCTGAACAATGCTTTTCTGCCAGATTGTTCAGGTATTTTGAGAGCCAGCTGGGCCAACTAGCAAGATTCTGAAGCTTGGCCCAGTACATAGTCTTTGCGAAAAAGTATAAAAAGTACTCCCAGAAGTTTGTTATTGAGGTCTGGACCTGTCAAGAGGACATCATTTAAGGAGAAAGCCTTGAATTTGGTGTTAGAGTCAAACACTACTCTAATCTGACCAGGCTTTTAAGGGTGGTATACTCCGAATATTGGTAGGTACCAGCACTCCACAGAATCTTTAAGAGTGGGAGCTATTTCTGCATGACCGTTCTCAAAGATTTTCTCCATAAAAGAGAAGAAGTGGTCTCTTATCTCTGGCTTTCTTTGAAAGTTACGTCAAAGGGAAGAGAGACGTTTCAGTACTTGTTCTTTGTTATTAGGTAGGCCTCGCCTCTGTTCTGAAGGGAAGAGGTGCGAACCCAGCTGTTTTTGTCATCTTTGACTAGTCCCTGTTCCATTATTTCTAAGAAGAGTTTGTCCTCAATTTTTAGAGACTGTGCACCCTAAATGGTCTTGGTCACTGTCACAGGTGAGGTTGTCACATGGGGGGCCTATGAAAGGACAAGGCAAATTGGTAGCTTTAGGCAATTCTTTTAAAAGGAACTGATTGTGCCATGGCTGGAAAAGAGGGGAAAGTCCATTCTCTAGTGTACTTGTAAGCATGCTGCTAACAGATGTAGGTTTGTGCATGCTTCCTAGGCAGACATCTTCTATAATGACCCATCCGAGGTCTAACTTCTGGGCATAAAAATCATTTTGGGGGACCATTAATCTGAGCTCTCGCTTTGTGAACTTGTATGATGTCTCTCCCAAGAAGTAGGAGTATCTGCGCCTGAAGATCAAGTTCTGGTCTCAGATACGCTATGCGTTTCAAGTGTAGGTGGTGAACCGCTACATCTGGTGTCGGGATTTCAGATCTATGACCAGGGATCTGATTGCATTCAATAAGATGAATAGTCCATTTTGTCTGAACTTTTAGTGGTGTCAGAAGAAAGCCAGAGTCTGCAAAATAAATTGATATTACAAAAATATACATCTTTATCGACATAACAAAAACACATAAAAACTTTAAAGGAAACCCGTTAACAAATTTACATGTGTACATTAATACATTCCTGATGTCACTATCTACAGCAACATTTCTAGAAAAGCTTTACTTTTCATAATTAAAAAGCATTTCCTGAGCCCCATCCAAAAGACTTAACCTAGGCTGAGATGACATCATCAATCTGCTGCAGGCATGAAGAACTCCTGTCCTCCCCTCCCCAATTTATCAGACTGCAACACTGTAACTTTAAAGCAAGTCACAAGGTGATATATTTCACCAGTGGTTTGATGTCAAGCATTTGTAATCGCAACCAAAAACTGCACAGGCACCATGATTCATATGATTGTGTCATTTCAGATCCTGCATTGTAGTCCAGGTAGTATACGCTGATCCTGGTTCCTGGATAATGCCTAATGACAATTTTGGGTGGATTTACCCTTTAAACTCCAGGAAATATAAAAGTTAACCTTTGCAGTGGTTGTACCCCCGAACTGCAATGGTTAATTGCTCATTTTGGTCTAGGGGTGCAAATAAAGAAAATATACTTCGCTGATCCTCGATCCTGCTTGGTTGCTAGACCGGTCCCTGCGGCCTGTTTTCCCATTGGCTTCGGCAGTCTCAGCCCTGCTGATGTGATCATGTCAGCCCCGCTGATGTCATTCACTTGCATTAGACGTGAAGATGCTGAGGAATATTGTACAGCCAGAGCAGAAGGGGAGAGAGCTGAGCACTTACCGCTGCAGGCTCGAGGATCGGGTCAGTATTCCTTTTTTATTACATTCCCTAGATCAGAACAAGCAAGTTAACCTTTGCGGTGCAAGGGTAGCCCTACTGCAAGGGTTAGCTTTTTAAATTCCGGGAGATCTTAAAAATCCTGGTACTGTGAAAACAATAAGCCTGTTGTACAAGCAATGTGCATTGTGTGTAAATCTATTTTTTAGGCTCTCTTTCACATATGTGAAACCATGTAACTACTGGTATCTGATGGGCTGAATCACCTACTAGTGGTTGTACCTCTTAGAAACTTGACTGGCTGAATCTTTAACACTTTCATTCCAAAAGTGATTGTCCCTTAAACAACAAGGGTGTTCTCACTTCTCCCACTGCACTCAAAGTAATATAACATAAATGAAAAATCCAGTAGAGGGGAGAGTGGGACGCCTTTGCATGGTCATATCAGATGACCAGACCTATGAATGCAAGTGCTGAGATATCGGAGTCCCCAAGAGCTATAAGAAAGTGTCAGATGGTGGTATAACCCTCCAGCATTTACCTACCAGTTCAGGTACACTGACTTTTTACCATACTATAAACTATTACCATTATAAATACTAGAAAGGTTTTTATATTATGGTAAATTATTTGATCCCTGTAAATAAATTATATCTTTTATTAATTTTGGTTTTCTAACTTGTGTTTTTTTTCTTTCCATCACGTGTTCATTATTCATTTACCAGGACAAAGTAAGTATTTATTTTACCCTTTTAAAACCTTGATATACTATTTTTGTTTATACATCAGCAATTCCAATATACTGAAAGAACTGTCACCATTGCTAAATAAATGTGATAGTAGAGGGAACTACTACGAGACCCATCACATTTTAGATGCTTATTAAGAATGTGGGGTCACTGTTAAAGGGATCTGACAGGAAACCAAAGTAGGGCCTCTTTGTTGAAATTATTATAACTATATAAGTGTAACAGTTCCATTTTACTACCAATGGCAGTTATGTCACATGATCTGGCTGTTGCCATGTCACTAGAATTAAAAAGGTTGTGTACTGCCCTATTAGTTATGGTGTTTTCCTTTGTATGATTTTGTGCTATTTCAAAGTGATGTTAAAGGAGAACTATGAGATGAGTGATTTCCACTCACCTCATGGCTCCAAGCTGACACCCTATTGCATTTAATGTAATGCTAAAATGAGCATAAAGTGATGCATGCAACTTCCTGGGGCATGCCATGTATAAATCTCCTTCCAGTCCTTTTCTGTATCATAGAGAACTGTATAAATAGTCCCTATTCTGAGCTGTGGGTCTCTGTCTTCTGCTGCAAGACTCTTGCAGCATATCTGATAGTATGAGATGTGTACTTTGCTGACAGAAGACAGATACATAGTAGACATTTTCACTGGCTCGCACCCACATTTTTCCCTGCCTTGCACCTCCTCAGGAGATCTGAGCATGGCATGTCCAAAATTAAGTGCATGCATCACTCTGTGTGCAATCTAGCATTACTTTGAAAGTAATAGGGTGTCTTGCTGGGAGCACACTAGGAGAGCGCAGCATCAGGCTGAAGAAAGTACCTTAATTAATTGGACAGTATATCACACAAAGGAGATTACAAGCACCCCCAGTCCAGTAAAATAAGCGGTTTAAGATTATATTCAAAGCACGGCAACCACAGGAAACCAACAGGGCTATTCACAAAAGAATGAAGAGTTTGATGAAGGCAGGAGAAATGAACAATCCAGCACAACATAGCTGATGTGGATAGTGAGCTGAATTGGAGAATTTTTCCAAATCAGCTATTTTGTCCTAGCTTATTCACTTCTCCTGCCATCTCCAAACTCTTCACCCTTTTGTGAATAACCCTTGAAGTGTAACTTTGTAACTTTGTGCTGCTAACAACCAATTGGGGAAGCATGGGGTCCTTGGTCAATGCTAAGTTTGCTCCTTTACAAAACCACTATTGCACGAAAACACGGTTTCTTTCTTCTTAATTGTACTAACAAATATATCGTCAATGAAAGCAACATAGATGTCAGCGCTCATAGATTTATTATAAACTAGTACTTTATTTCACTGTGGATGCTGTTAATGAAGCGAATATGTTCACAGACATCGGGTCATAATTTGCATTCAATTTGCTCTAAGAGTTAAGCTAAGCCCCTACCTTTTCTGGCAATCACAATTGCTTCTCCAAACCGAAAAATGCACTTTTGTAGTGTCAATAAGAAGGTTGGGGTGGGATGCTGAAGGTCCTATTGTTGGATGCAGACACTGCATCCTCTATTTTCCACTACTACTACTTATGGCTGCTTGCATAAGTTTAACAACTCCACAAGGTAATTTACAAGTGGTAGCAGCAATCCATCCCACAGCACTTCACTCCTGGGTAGCAATTTATTGCCTTAACCCAGCCCCACACAATCCCTGCAATAGTGTATTGCTACCACCCACCCCTCTACATCTGTACCCCAATGTACTATATATTCCACTGCCAAAGGTGATTGTGTTGTTCAGAAAAGTTTTGGGCAAATGGACTTAAAGATCTCTGGGGTGCTGGGTCTCACGCGCTCTAGAATGCTGCTGTATAAACTGAAGGTAGATGTTTGATGGTGCTGCAAGCAGCATTTTGAGATGGCTAGTGAGGGTCCGCCAAAGGATTCTTTGGTCCCCCGCTGGGCTAGTCTCACCCTAGACACACTTGGTTACAGGATGATATAAATAACAGTGCTGCGGGTCACTCGTTATTTGCAAACATCCTCCTCCAGCAAAGCAACCCAAAGTCATCACATACTCAAACTTTCATGACTCTTTTCATGATTACCTCTCTCAGACCATGGACATGCACTGAAAAGAGACAGTGATACAAAAGAGGAAAGAGAATTAGGAAACTAAAAGAAAAAGATGATTTTTACACAAAAAAAGAAGTAAGAAAAAAAAAGAAAATTATATCTTTTAGAAGATAATAACTTGTTATAACCATGCCTAATTACTTTAATACCTCTCATTGCAGAAGAGGAACATACAGCACCCAGTAAGTTTTGCTAATTCTAAAAAATATTCATGTGCACACTATAACTAAAAAATTGTTTTGTTTGTAAAAAAAAAAAAAAAAAAGCTTAATTTTAGCATGCTTTTTTTAGACATTAATTGTGTCTTTGTCATTGCATTTCTTGCTTTCTTTCTTCCTTCCATAGATAGCTAAAATTATATTTAAATCTTAAATTTTCCTGTAAAAATCATTGAAAACAAAAGAGGTCTTCGATAATAATAGTACATAATATTTTACCCATGCCTAATTATTAATTTAATTATTTTAATACTGTTTGTTACAGGATATTCATATCCAGTTTCAGCACCTCGTAAGTGTTAACTGACTTCAAATTATCCCTGTTTATTCTATAGCTTTAAGAATTAAAATTTGTTTTGTATGTTTGAGCATGTAAAACAGGTTGTCTTTGGATTAAAGTTCCCTATATACTTCGATTCCCTATGAAGTAAAACAAAGAGCTATACAATATCATCACCTTGCAAATAATCTGGAATTTTTTGTTTCACACAATTATTATTTTACCAACAAAAACAAGACACATCTATGGGTTCAAACTATGCACCAAGCTATGCCAATTTGGCCATAGGACATAGTAAGGATAGCTATAGCTGGAACAATAACCTCTATGCCTCACATATAAGTTTTTGTTGGTCGCTATATTGATGATATAGTTATTATATGTGATGGGTCCATTAATACCATTCCCTTCTTTGTCCACTACCATCACTACCATAACAATAGAGGTAAGTATTCAATTTAGTCTTTTTCAGGGACACTTTTTTCAGCAACTTTTTTTAAGGCATTATGCAAACACCTGTACTGTAAAATGTATTTTGGTAATCAACATTAGCATACCCATAGGCATTAGCTTCCTGTTGCCCAATCAGCAGCCCTTTGACAACAATTGTCTGGGCCTCAGCACAGTATTCTGTGTTCTTCTTACCCTCATGCTTACTCAAGCCAGTGAAGAAAAAAACATGCTTTAGACTGGATTCCAGAATTCAAATGGTTTGTTTTTTTCTTTCACACTATCTTAGTTTTTCTGTGCTTTCTATCCCTTTTCGATTTGTTTTTTTTCCATGGATATTGTATGTAAATATATACTGTATATGTATGTGTGTGTGTGTATATATTGTGCTTAATTCACTAAAGACTATGGACACTTTATATTTTGATAGTTTATCCAATTAGATTGTTTGTATTTTTTGGATGCACACCGCTTTTTCGATTGTATTGTCTTACATGTTGAATACTTTGTTTATAGATGAGACACACTGAGATATACATTATTTTTATCTTTATATATAATTTTTTCTTTATGTATTTCACTTTATAGCTTGGCACATTTGAGATAAAGAGTTATTGCAGTTTATTCATTAGAGTTATGCTTTGGAGCTAATATCTTGTTTATATTGGCGCAAGAAAATTGGTAAACTAAGTATAGTGATGCCTCTAACAGTGAACAAGTGTGTGTGTGATTCCTGTCATGGCCCTTGGACTGACTCTAGTGTGGAAGCTGATGGACAAAGCCACTGAAGAGATGGTTGGTGAGGTCTCAGACTTGCCATCACTGTAAAACACGCACCATAGGCCCTAGCATGGGAACCGGCTTAACCTTCTTCCAGGGCTTAACTTCCTGCAAACTGGGACACCACCACACCTACCATTACCACCAACTTATTTGATAAAATTCCACAATCTAGGCATCAAGTAAACCCTCCCACAACCTTGCCCTGGCCCCAAAGGGGCAGTTTGTCACAAACTAGTCCCCTCTTTTTGAACATGTGGGTTCCAACATCAGCTACCAAACATTGGGCTCTAGAGAGGGCATCTGCATTTTTCTGAAGAAGACCCGCTTGATGCTTACCCTTGAAAAAGAAGTATTGGAGAACCAGGAACCAGAAGGTGACTTTCAGATTTTATTCTTTATCCTGGGCCATTGTCTGTGATTAGTCTAAAGCTATGTCCCAGTAGATAGTAGTGCAAAGTCTCCAGTGTCCACTTTATAGCCAAAGGATCTCATCCATCATTCACTAAAACGTAGCAGGAGCCCCCTGTAGGTCAAAAAGCATTCTAACATAGTGGAAGGAACCCTTGCCTCCACCATTAGCAGAACCTGCCAACATCCCCTAATAAGGTCAGCCTCTCAATGAGTCTGTTAATTCTTGGCACAGGATACGCATTACAATTTGATGCCACATTTAATTTTCTGAAGTTATTGCAGAACCAATAGACTTGGGAATCAGGACTATTGGGCTACGCTATTCAATTTTTGCTTCTTCAATTACCGCAAAGCCTAGCATTAACATTATCTGATGTTCCTTGGCTACTGCCTATCTGTGGGCCTTTGATAGGGCTAAGGCTGCACCCAAACCTTGGAGGCAGTGATAATGTTGTGTTTAATTAGATCTGTGCAGCCTGTCAACTCTCTTATTTTGGTGCAGAAACTTTCTTAGCTTAGCAATAAGAACCTGCCATATACCTTCCTCTTTGTTCAGGGGGCTACCTCCAACAGCTAAGAGAATTTCTCTTTCCAGGCTTTAATAGAAAAGTAAAGCCAAACTTTTTTTTTTTTGGGGGGGGGGGGGGGGGTCACAGGAGTGCATTTACTAATGTACTCCTGTGACCCAAAATCAGCAATCAGCATATAGCTTGCCCCTATCTGCAGACAGTGCAGGGCCGCACTGCAGCCGGGATGAATCCAGACAATATTGTCAGCATCCACTTGGCTGTCTGACAGCTTGCTCTGCCTCTCTGGCAGCTGTGCCTGGCCCCTACCCTCTCTGTCCCTCCAGTGAGCACTGGAGGAACTGAGAAAGGAATCCCTATGGGAGCAGTGACTGGCAGTCACTGCTCTCTGCAGGAAGAAGTGTCCCACACCAGCTATAAGTATTGGAAAGAGTATATTTTACTCTCCCAATACTTCTCCTTTAACCATTTGGCCAGGAACTTACGTTTCACTGTAGGGACTAGAACCAGTACCTTATCCCCTCAGTGGAACTTTCGAACCTGTACAAACTTATTGTTCCAGACCAGAGGCATAACTGAGGAAAATTCTATCTTGTATGGCTAAGATATGCTCTACCACACACTTTTAGAACGTAGTGCCATTCTCCAGTTTTTTTTGCATCTAACAACCCTTGGGGGTGATGCCCATACAATAGGCCAAAAACACTCTAGAAATTCCTCTAATTGCAAATAGATATGGCAGTAAGCAATCCCAATCTCTCCTATCTTTGTCCACCCCCTTTTTTAGAATATTTGAGAGTTCCAAAATTTTGAGAGTTTTGAAATTCCATTCAGTGCATGATTCCACCAAGAAAAGTCCTCCCCCCTACTTTCCCTGTCCATGGCATTTGACGTTGAGGAGCACAACTAAGAGGTTGTAGAAACGCCTGCCACCTCGCATCCTCTACTGACCCTTACTGGTAGTGGCAAAGAGGTCTCAGCATCAATCATCCTTGAGGATAAGGAAATGGTCTTGGCCATTATTAAGTCTGCAAGCAAAACCCTTGCATTTGAGGCCTAGTACCTTGGAAGAGCCCCTGGTAACTTTTGGTACTCATAAACCTCATTGTTCTACCAAGGTCCACACAGAGATAGGATTAGGCTACAAGATGGAGTTCGTTTCTCCTCCTCCAGACCGTTTTTTCGCATCCAACCTCCATCTGTCTCTTTAGCAGCTTTAAGATCTACAGTGGGCAACTGCTGTGCTGCTACTGCAGGGGGAGTTTCAATGGGTTGTATTTCTTCTATGACTTGCTATGACACCAGTGGAAGTAAAAAACCACCATTTGAGAACATTTACAAAATTCTCTTTTTGGCCCTATCTCAGAAGGGGGCTTTTTTGTTGACCATCTCCTCAAGGCGTAGGGTTTCAGGGTTTGTCCTGCAGGTCCCCCTTTCTGGTGTTACATAAGAGATAAGGTAGTGCATTATCCTAGACCCTGTTTTTTTTTTTCAAAAGCTGTGTTGGCATTTCATTTGAACAAAGATAATGTTTTGCCTTCTCTCTGCTTATTGTACAGAGCAGGCTTTAAATTGCCTGCATGTATTTGGGGCAATCAAGATGCACCTGAAAACCATGGTGTCTTTTTGTAGGAATGATTCATTTTCATATTTACAAATGGGTCCAGTTGCCTCTTCAGTGACATTTTCTAGGTGGATTAGACAGTTCACTGTGCACACTTTTTCTCTTTAAGGTTTGCAGCCCCTGATTTCTGTTACTACACATTCTACTAAACCAGTGAGTGCATCCTAGACCTTCCGTCATCGGCGCTCTGTTTCTACAGTTTGCAAAGCAGCCACTTGATCTTCTGTTCATTCCTTTTACCAAATTTTAAAAGATTAACAAGTGTGATATTTTTTGGCCTTTGACCTTGTCACGCCGGGTGCCCCGGTACTTCTTGCCAATCCATATTGTAGACATTGCTTTTGATGTCCTAGTGGTCAAGACCTACTGACCTTCACTGTGTCCTTCAATGAACAGAAGACAAAACTTGATTTTTGTACTCCATGTAAAATCATTTTCCACGCATTCATTGAAGGACACAGCACCTTTCCTTCAGCTGTGTTGGCTGTTTCCTGTTGAATGTTAGTTGGGGTCCTTACTGCTTGCTGCTAACTGTGTTAGCAAATTGGAAAGGGTAGGTGGGGGTGTTGGTGGCTACCAGCAGGGGCCACCCCTATGGATGGATTTTGTATTTCTAATTTTCTATGTATTTCTAATTTTCTATTAATCCAGTGGTCAAGATCTACAGATCATTGCTGTGTCCTTCCATAAATGTAGAGAAACTGATTTTATGCTATGTACAAAAATCCAATTTTTCCCTTTGTTCAGATCGGTCAAGGGTGCAGGCAAAATACATAATGAACTGTTTATAGTATCCTATAATGCCCAGAAAAGTTATAATCTGCCTCCTGCTCATGGGAATAAGAACCCTCATCAATAACTCTGCCCTGGACGCAAAAAGGCTGTTTGTTACAATGATCCATAAAATATATAAAGCTGAACTGAACAGATATAATATGCAAAAATGAATGCAGTTCTGCAATCAATCTACTATAAGTACCTGAATTTGACTTCGTATAAGCAAGCTTTCAGAGGAATAGTAAGCAGCAAAAGGAGCCAATTGGGTACGTTGTAGTGCTAACCGATAGGAGCAAATATTATAGTGACAGAGAGATGAGCTCACCAGTTCAGCACTTCTTCTTCTACTGCCCAGTCACATAATAGGGCAGGGAAGGAGGCCTGTTAAAGGAGAACTATGGGGTTAGGGCTTTTCCCCATAGTTCTCCTTAGGGTAACGGGAGAACACAAACTAGCGTCCTCCCGTCACCCTAAGCTCAGTATACCGCGAGCTACAGCCCCCCGCCCCCTCCCCGTCCGTTCCGCCAGTCAGCGCTGGAGGATCGGAGCGGGGAGGGGGGAATCCAGGCCCCCCCCCTGTCCCGGCTCTCTGCCGGCACAGGACACAGGTCGGCTAGAACTATGAGGTGAGTGAAAAGCATTCACCTCATAGTTCTCCTTTAAAATAAAACTACAGCAGAGAAAGATCAGGTCCCCTCACCTGCAAGACAGTAGTGTGCTGTTTGGCAGAATGGTATAACTTTCAGGACTGGATGGACAGAAACACAAACTCTTTGGCAGGTTAAGCTGCTACTTTACATGTATTTAATTTGTGTATTTACTGTAGAATTGAGCTTTAAATCAAAATTGCAGGTTTAGAATGCTCAAATTATTTGCTCATTGAAAAAATATGGCTTTTTATCTTACTTATACTGGGTTTTTTTTTCAGGTTATCATGCTCCTGCTGTCTCAACTCCATCTAACTGGGGTAATGTGTTGCTTGTTTCTGTAGTGCAATTCCAGGATTAATTACCTATTAGCTCCAGGTCTCCGTGTAATGATCAGGAGCTTGTGGCATAGCCAATCACAGTGGTCATTAGTAAGAAATACCTCCTCCTTATCGCTTTGTCCTCTGTGAGGAGAAAAAGATATATTGAGGTGAGTTTACTAAGACTGGACAGAACTTGTAGCAGCTGTGTATTGTAACCAATCAGCATTTCGCTTTCATTTTGAATGCGTAACTGAACAAGCTGAAGATAGAAGCTGATTGGTTGCTATGCATTACTGCTCCAAATTCTATCTGCTTCAGTTTTAGTAAATTCCTCCCAAAGTATCTTTGCAAAAGTTGTGTAAAAGAGAAGCCTGTAAAAAATAAAATGTCTGTTAAAAATAAAGATAAAACATTTAAATTAGCACTCAATCAAGGTTAGTGTCAGTGTTAGTGTAAGCGTCCGTGTTAGCGCTAGGGTTGATGTCAGTACCAGTGTTAGTGTCAGTGTGTTTTAAGTGGGATACAAAAGAAAAAAGCAAACTCTGCACTATTGTTTCTGGGCTCTACTAGGGGTAGAAACAACAAATAATGCACACATATATAACATCACCATGCATGTCAAGCATAGGAGAATTTATTTTGGATTGCTTTTTGGTGGTGGGTCATAGTAATGGCAAGGAATATACAGCTAAATTTAAAGTGACGCTAAACTCAGAAGTTAAAACGTAAAAATGCATTTAAGTACCTTAACTATTAACAAAAATATAATTTCTTTGTGTATCACTCGGCTGTAGATCCTCAAATCATCTATGAATTGGTGTTGACAAATGCTTCCGATACGTATCCTGATACCAGAACCTCTGGTATCTGGAAGTCGGGTGGCGTGTCATTACATCCCGCCCTGCTTCCTCCTTGGCTGGGAAGTCACCTCCATGCTGCCTTGTCACCAAGTGACGAGGCAGCATGGAGTCGGCTTCCCGGCCAATCATGAAGCCGGACGGCGTGTAATGACTTGCCACCCAACTTCCTGATTGGTCGGAAAGCTGGACAATCAAAATGCCGGGTGGCGAGTCATTACCCGCCCCCTGGGCTTCCTGATTGGCCAGAAAGCCGACTCTATGCTTCCTAATCACTTGGTGATCAGTGAGCATGGAGCCGGCTTCCCGGCCAATCAGGAAGCCAGGTGGAGTGTAATGACTCGGCGTACGGCTTCCTGATTGGTTGGGAAGCTGGCCAATCAGGAAGCCAGGCGGCGAGTCATTACCCGCCCCCTAGGTCCCTGATTGGCCAAAAATCCGGCTCACCTGGTGACGAGGTAGCATGTAGCTGGCTTCCCAACTAATCAGGAAGCCAGGCGGCGAGCCATTACATGCCGCTTGGCTTCCTTAATGGGACTTCCGTTATCAGTATTGGCGAGTACCGACAGAAAAAATATCAGTACTCCATACCGAAAAAACGGTATCGGTGCATCCTTAATCTGTACAGACATCTAGAATAACCAGAAAGCCAGAGGCTACTAGAGCAGGTAGAGTACAATTTTGGCAACTCCCTTTTACAAATAGAGTACTACTGCTGTGTTTGCAAGGAAGAGAAATGAGAAGCTTTTTAAAAAATATTACGGTACATTTCAAAATTTCTTCAGTAGTGCCTAATGTTATAACACTTTTCAGAAGTGGAAATGTACTTATTTGGGGTCTGTGCTCTCCTCCAAAGATGCAAGTTCTGTGCTACCTTTAGCCTCTCCGTCGCTTCCACTACCATCTTCTCCTTGTTTCCTTCTGGCTCATTCTTACAAGAGTGTTCTCCATTTGTCAGCCATGGATGACATAACTCCCACACATGAGCACAGAAATGACAGCTCGGCTTAGCTGTCTTCCTGAAAAATTCCCAAACCTCAAAGCAAATCAAAGTTCAAATGTCTCCTCTTGTCCAAGTATCCAGCAGAGTAATTCCAAAAAAGCAGGGTTCCTTAAAAAAAGCCCTAAAAAAAGCTCAAAAAATCTGCCCCAAAAAGAATCCAATTCATTTCTATGGCCCTGTTCCCATCTGAGTGTTTTGTCGCAATAAGCAAAACGCCTGTCTCTTGGAAAAGTACAGCAGATTTTTTATGGCATATTACAGCTCGTTTTGGCCCCATAGGCTGAATAGAAAACACTTGAAAACGCCCGTTTGCTGTGTTTTTATGTGCATTTTATGTGCTTTTTCTCATTAACATCAATGAGATACAATCTGCTCACAAAAACAAGCTTTTTGCCGTATGAGCAAAAAACATGCATCAGAAATGGACGTTAAAACGCGCAAAAACGCTGCCGCCTAGGTGTTTACCAGGCCTTACAGCAGACTTAGGATCCTCTTCATAAAAGCTGGTGGGAAATTTCGGCTAAATTGATTTTACATACCATTTCTTTTGTTTTACAGTTGACTCAGATCCTCATTTTGTTATAAATGTGACACAAAAGAATGACGCTTTGTGCTTTAATATACAAGAGGAACCTGGCGTGGTATTGAATCTTATTGAAGACAAACGCCTAGGTACGTATTGGTATCTTCACATACTAGACCATAAGTAGACAAAATGAGATCCAGTATTTAAAATAGGATCCAGTAATCTGGGATCCCTATATTCATACAAACATTCCCTATGTACATCTCAAAGCTCCACAGCAATAATATCATAAAATTCTGACTTCCAAATTAAGAACCACGAGCCTTTGAAAAGGAAAAAGACAACACCTTACAAAGCAATATTGTCATCGTTGACCATGTGACAATTTGTAATGAATTAAGAGCTGATTCCAGACAATTTTTTTCATTTTGGATACATTTGGAAGAATTAAAATTTCTTTAAGAGTTTTATTTTTATATTATTTTGTATTTCCACTCACTTCCTGTTCCTAAGATACTTTTTCAAGTAATGGGGTTGAGGGCTTTACATGGATTGGAAGGAACAGAAAGGAACTATAAGAAATTGTAACCCTTCCCTACCTGTGAACAATTTTGTAACCTTTCTACACCATAAGATATTTCTTAAGTGTGCCAGAATCATGTATGTATTAAGCTCCACAACTTCATGTGAATTCCTTGCCATGGGTGTGTGGAAACTATGCAGACAGCTGCAAATCCACATTACTGGTATAAACTGTTATTCCAATCTGCTGGAGGGAGCAACAACATGCCATACATGACCAAGAAAAACTTTTAGCATTTTACACTACTTTGTATACTATAGCAATTGTATGTAACAGAATAGCCTGGTGTCCTAAGGCAAATCAAACATCCAATGCGTTTTAATTTTCTGCACATTAAGGGTCATGTGACACTAGTAGAATCACAATGGGGTGTATTTATAGACGATTCACAGAGCCATTTGGCCTGCAAAACCCAATGAATGTGCATTCTGTGCAAATGGAGGCAAAAAGTCGAATCTAATGTCACAAAAAAAATGATGGCTACTAGATGGAGGTAAGGAGCATAGAAAAGAAGTATTGTATGTCATATGCTCCTTAACTCCATCTAGTGGCCATAATGTGGTATTTTCATGATGTTGCATTCGACTTGGAAAGAACATATACTGAATAACAGTAGTTTTTCCTTGAACAGAACAAATATTTACATGTTTTACAGAATGAATGGCTCTCAAGTTGTTTATAAAAACACTCCTATGACTCAATTCACCTTCTCTTATGGCATTACTCCCTTTGTACCTGAACTAGCTAGTTTTTAATTCATCTATGCTACTTCAATAGTGTTAGAGATTCTGAAGTGTTTTTGGAGCGCCGTCCATTAGGGAAGATGGCATATGCATTTTGGTAATCCAGCCATTGTCTAACCACAGAACCATGAACATGATATGGCTCTTATGGAGCCTGTAGACATAAATCAGATGGCATAACTGACAAATTAACACAGTTTAAAAAGATAGGTCTGAAAAACATACGAACTAGTATTGCGGTGGGTTGCCCACCACTCTGCTTATCTTGGTCACAACTAGGTTTAACAACTGACTTGTGGCTATGGCTACCTTTTATTATTACAAATGAATTAAAGTTTGACATTTGCCTGACGAAGTAATACATGTCTGCTCTGCCACTAACAATGCCTTCTGCTGCCTTTCTATAGGAATTGCAGTGAATGGGGAACTTACTGGAAAACGGAAAACAGACAACAGTGTGTTATCACATGAGACATATTTTGGAAGACTGGGCATTGTAAACGAAGGGATTAAGCTGAGAATTGAGGTGACCACTGAAACAATCACTATCATGAATGGCAAAATCACCAAAATGTTTACATGGGAGAAGAAAGCATCTGTCAACAAACACGGGTACACAACTGAATTTTAAAATTAGCTGTTCCATAAATGAATAAGTCCATTTAAAATTGTAAAGGTTCTGCACAACTTGGTTTGTTTAAACAAATATCTCTATGGGCCTACTGATCTTGCTTTGTAACCATTTTTGATACTGTAGCTCCTCAAAAATTAGTTAGCAATGTGTATCTATTCCATTTGTATCCTTCTTATGTCTGTACTTATGATTATGGTTTAGGGCCTTGGTTCTCAACTGGTGGGTCGTGACCCAAAAGTGGGTCGCGACCTCATGTTCAGTGGGTCACCGCATGCCTTCCTCTTTTCTAGGGGAGAGGCTCCTCAGCCTCCCCCTGGTGCAGCACTGTCTGTTCTCACACCAAGCAGCCATTCAAAATATGCTGCCCGGTGCGGAGTGTCAGTTTAAGGTGGGCTGGGGGTATGGCTGCGAGGGAGCTCCATTCATACGTACATTGCTTACATCTCCCTCACGTGTCCTGTAATTTTTGGATTGTGTGTCTGGTTGTGTATGTATGGCAGTGTTTTTGAGGGCCCGTTCACACTGGTACAGTGCGCTAATCGCACAGTCCCGTACGATTAACTCACCATGCAATCGCACCTACAGCGCATTCTGGCGCTGGAGGTGCGTTGCATTGCTATTCATTTGACTGGCACCCCAAAACGCACCTCCCACCCACAGTTTGATCGCCCACACCGGAACGCATGGTACCAGTGCAGTGCGACTTGGGTCACGACTTAATGACCAAGGACAAATGTGGGTCCTGAGGTTACACAGGTTGAGAACTACTGGTTTAGGGGTTATTTAGGGGTTTTTCCTATTCTTATGGTTTAGCGGTATATCTGACAGGCGGCTATTGCTTGGTTGGACCCAGGTTACACATAGCCACCATTTCATTACTGTACTACAACACACATATAATATTCTTTATTTAGTTTAAAGTGAACTTGTGCCCAGATCACACACGCTAAAATATTTACATATTTTAACCTCTTGCCGTCCGCCCGTAGTAAAAAAACGGACGGACGGCACTGCTGCATCTGCGGGTTGCCGTCTCCAGACGGCAATTTTTTTCTGCTCGCGCGCGCCCCCTAGCGGGTACGCACGGACAGAAAAGACCCGATCAATGCACGTAAAAGCACTTTAAAACAAGCCCTCATTCACCACTATATCTATAGGCTTTGTGGAGAATTTAAAGGTGCTTATATTTTGTCTATATTTATAGTCTGCAGGAGCCAGAGTATTGCACCCGCAATCCACTAATCACAGTTTCAATAGGTCGAGGTTCTCTAGGTCGAATTGCAGCTAGATCGCTATCTGCAAGGAGTTTACATGTTCTGCCTGTGCTTGCACGGGTTTCCTCCCACACTCCAAAGGCATGCTGGTAGGTTAATTGGCTCCTGTCTAAATTGGTTCTTGTATGAATGCATGTGAGATAGGGACCTTAGATTGTAAGCTCCTTAAGGGCAAGGACTGATGTGAATGTGTACTATATAAAGTCACATATAGATATGTCCTGTTGCACTCCTTACCGAGTCAAAGAATAGATCTGTAAATCAGGCGGGGGCTTGAAGTGACCACGGATGGCACCGTGTATATCACAAAGTCTAAAAATGTCACCAGCACACCATTTAAATGTGAAGCAAATCCATTTAATGACACATGCTTGTCATTCAAATACTGTATGGTGTACTGGTGACATTTTTGGACTTTGTGCACTATATAAAGCGCTACAAAAATTGTCTGCACTATATAAATATCTGTAATAATAATACATTACTGGCTCCAATGCAAAAACATTATTATTATTGCACTTTTTTTTTTTAAGGTGGCATTTCCCTTTAACCAGTTGACATCCGCGGTGTTAAACCCCCTTCCCACCCAGGCCATTTTTCAGTATTCAGCGCTGCGGTACTTTGACTGACATTTATTCCGTCATGCAGCGCTGTACTGAAATGAATTTTATACCCTTTTTTGGGGACACATAGAGCTTTATTTTGGTGGTATTTAATCACCACTGGGGTTTTTATTTTTTAATATATTAAGGAAAAACTACAGATTAAAAAAAAAAACCTGACGCCCTCCCGAGCCGGACCCGGGCCGCAGATGGGCTAGCAGATCCTGGGGTTAAAGGTGAGGGGTCAGGAGGGGGAGATGGGGCACACGTTTTCTTAACGGGCGGACGGCAAGAGGTTAATGCTCCATTCACACAAAGCAGTAGCATTTTTCCCGCACGATTTTTCCGCACGAAAAGCCACGTGGAACGAAACCACGCAAACAGTAACATACGCATGGATTCAGCGCATTTGCAGCTATTACTATAGCAGAAACGCGCTGAATCTTCAAATAAAATTGCGCTTCGACTATTTGCGGGACATGGGTTTTGTACCGTGTGCCCGCCGCAATAGTCTGAACAATACACATTGCAATGCATTGGTTTTTATTAGGTATGCACCGAAATTTCAGCCGCCGAAACATATTGGCCGAAAATGGCACTTTTGGCAAAATGCGGGGGAGGAGTCTGCTGTTAGAGAAGATTGAGCTCTCCTCCCCGCACTGTTCGCTCAGCCTCCTGTGAGAGCGAGCGGGTAACAATCAGTGATTGCTGAGTGTTTGTAAATAATTGAGTACATAGTAGGTTTACCTTGTCCCCAATTATGAATGAATGGGAAGTGCTCTACATCACTTCCTGTTTATTCATGATTGTGGATATAGTAAACATAATATTTCCACAGATTATGAATTAACGGGAACACTCAGTATTGAGTATTTTTTATAAGGGGCTGTAGAAAAAGAGACTGAAGACTGTGTTTTAAAGGGAAATATCAGGGGTCTGTTTAGACCCCCAATTATCCCCCAAGCCTCCAACAGTAAAGTTAAAAAAAATACAAATATTTAAAATAAATAAATACAAATATTTGTGAAAAGGTTAGAAAAAAACATTTTCGGTTTCGGCCTGACATTTTTAGTTTTTCGGTTTCGTTTTGAAAATTTCATTTCGGTGCACCTCTAGTTTTTATGTTTAGCGCGTTTCCGTATGCGCGAATATGTGCGGGAAAACCTGTGACACATTCCAGTACTTGTCTCCATACTAGGTATGCCCATAGTACTTAGATTTTTTTGGAGACATAACCATTATGCCCAATGTATGCAACTGGTTAGTAAAGCACAATGCAATGACAAATAAAAATAATTTAGAATTCCTGTTATACTGGTCTTCCTATCTCTGCTTAATTATTATATGCTACTTGTTACAGAACAAGCATGCAGAGTTCTGACTTTTCTGGTATGCAAACGATGAGAGTATTAAAGATTTAGGGCCTGCAAGGTCAACTCTTTTTTACTAAAACAATCTGCTGAAACTAATAATAACCAACAAAAGTGAGGATGATTTACTAAAGGAGTGGAGGCTGTTTACATAGCAATGCGAATTTTCAGTTTGCAAAGTGATTTGTCTCATAATTTAGTGAATGAGGCAAAGCTGTGACTGATCATCCAATTATTTGCAAGAGAACATTTAGTTTTTTTTACATTTTCCTTTCATTATGCAAAATGAACATGCTCTACTCCTTTAGTAAATCAGCTTCAGTGTGCACAATCATTTATCTGTTTAGATCCTTCATATTTTTCTCTTACACTAAATACCCCTTTAGGTTGCACCTGGTGATATACAAGAAAGAAAATGTGACGTTTACATTCGGAGAAGGGGCGACATTTGTTATAATTTTACATCAAGCCCTAAAAGATCATCCTCTAGATAAAGATTTCTTGGGGTTCTACACTCTGGATGATCATATGTTTTCTACAGAAGTTCATGGACTCTTAGGTGAGAGATTTCTGTTCATACATTTTGGAGTAGCAGATATAACATAACATATCACATAAGTGTGATATGATTATGGAACAACATAAGTGTGGAGCAAGAGCTGCCACTTTTGTCATTAAATATTTAAATTTATTGAAATCATAAAGTGGATGTAGAGCTAAAACTTTTTTTTTTTGTTTAAGATGGAACAGGAAGGGTTACAATCCCCTTCTGTATTGGTTTTAGTTTTTTTTTTCCGCTTTCTGTGTAAAATCTGGAGAATTTGCCCTAACGTCCTGTTCTAAAGACTCAACAGGAAGTTAGAGAAAATCTCCCAAATTCAGGGAAATTCCCCTCTAGGACAGCTGTCCAGAACAGGTGTCCTTATCAGATTCCTCCTCACCTCTTGTTCTGGGGACAACTCTAAAATGTTAGATGTCTCTAGACTTTCTTTCTTGGTGAGATTGGTCACCAGTACAGGTAGAGGGGTGAATCTCCCTGATGAGGACACAGACAGCAATAAAAATTAAAAAAAGTGGCAGAGGGTCTAACCCCCCCTCCCCAAAACAAGCTTATAGATTAAGCTTTATTCCAGCATGAAAAAAAGCATTTTATATACATTGGGAGAAATTGATCGAAACTGGAGCAGACAGAAACCAATCAGTTTCTCTCTTTAGTTTGTTCAATTAAGCTTTGGGAATGAAAGAGAGACGCTGATTGGTTGCCATGGGCAACTGCTCAAGATTCTGCCTGCTCCACTTTTGGTAAACTCCTTTCATTATCTGTTGTATGTAGAGGTCTAATAATGCTAACTTATTATTTTCTTTAAAGGACAATTCTTTCATGGCATTGATTATGAAATATCTGATATTCATGAAACCGAAATTCCCAACAAACTAGATGCAACAATGAAAGTTAAAACTAAGCTCCTTACAGTGACAAGGTAAAGAATGGATTTCAATATTCTCCACTGTAAAAAAAAAATAACACATCCAGTCCACGAAAATGTGATATTTGAAGTCAAACACCGATATCTTATATGTCTAGAACAAGACCTCCCTGTCGCAGGATTTTTTATTGAAGTGCCACACTCAGTTTTTTAGTCCAAATACATCTTTAGTTAATGTTGGGTTGAGGGGACAGTATAGAATAGTCAACACATTTCAGGAGCTCATACAGATAGCCCCTTCACTAAGGCTTACTAAGGATGAACATGTAGCATGATGTGACATTGCATACTCTTTTGTCCAGTGTGTGAGAATGCATAGAGATCTCTAGCAGCTGATTAGACTGACACATTTTTTATTCCACTTTTTCCCAAGATCTCCCTGACTCACGCTTTATTACAGTCCAGCTGGAAGTTTTGTGTGTTATATGTGTTTCATGTTATACTCCTTTAAGATAAAATATAAAAAGTCCAACCGGGTGGCCAGTGGTGTCACGGGGGGTGTGGGGTGGGTGCAGGGGGTGCAGCCCCCACCGGGTGACACCATCAGAGACGGTGACACCAAAATGACTGACAATCATTTTGGTGTCACCCCCTCTTAAAAGTCGAGCACTCAGTCATGGACCGAGAGAGAGGGGGACCCAGGTCAATATCCCCTCCTCTCTTTGCCGACATCCATTACCAAGGTGGCCACTGGCAGTGAAGTACATCAACGTGCATGCATGATGACATTGCACCACTGACATCGTAACACATGCATGGCGGCCGCACCGGGTGACACCCACCCTAGTGCCGCCGCTCTGGGCATGCTGAAACCTTTCATAACATCCACAGCAGGTGTGCAGACTAGGGATTCAAATGCAGAGAAGTCATCAATGGAGTTTCAGACAGATGTAAGAAACTAGCAGATGGTTTATCATTTTTTTTTTGTATATTAAATGTGTTACTTTCTTTTAACTAGAATTTCAAGCAATGCAAAACATTCAGTAAACACAATATCATTTGTTCTATCAGTGGTTATGTATGCATGTTCATTTTTTGAACTATGTTAAAATTAAGCTGTAAATGTGCCCATACACTGGCCGGTTTTTAATTGTACCAGCCGAAATTCGAACGGTGTGTGGGGCTGTCGGCTCCCTTTCAGCCGGCATTCCTCGATCAACTGATCAAAGGAGCCTGCTGGAAAATCTGTGTGCAATCAGAGCCGGCAGCCCGCTCTTATCGGGTATTCTGGCAGGTGGCGGCGGCATCTCTCAGAATATAATGCAGACAGTGGTGATACCTTGATCGACACTCTGTTAGTATTGATGGAGGAATCGCGTCAATTTTTTTTGTTCAGCCCGCAGGTTGAACGACAAAAAATTGACAGGTGTATGGCCAGCCTTAAGGTAGAAATATGGGAGCTGCCATTGCTGACTTATTTTGAATGGTCAGGCCTTGGGGCTGTCAATCTGATCCCAGCTTTAGTAACTAGCGAGTCAAGGAACAAGTATGACATCAATCTAAAGGGTATTCCCACTTTTGCAGTCAAGATAAAGAAAAAAAGCATCTACAGTATATGTTTTTTATATATTCCTATTCACACTACACCCCCTCCCCCAAATTTTTTTTAAATATTTCCTATCTTTTATATATTTTGTTGCAGCCAAAATGGCTGAATCCAAGTTTTTTTGAGCACCTTCAAAGTGAACTTTTTTTTTTTGCTTATTTGTATAAATAAAGAATATACCCTTCACCTTCTGTTCTAGTGCCACCTGAAGATATTTAGGCTTTCCCATTACTTTCTGTCTTGATGTAAAAAAAAAATAGAGAGGTTGATTCTCCCCAGAGGGATGTATACAGCAGTATAAACCTGGCAGAAGATCTAATTCTTCACTATATTCAAAGGTAGATTTTTTTTAACCTTTTGTATAGTGTGGGGAAAGGATAGAACATGTATCGGTTTTATAAATTCTTTATTTAGCAATTTCAGGATCATATGATGACATACCTGTACATCTTGGTTTTGAAGTGGTTACACCAAGTTCTTGGCTGCTGCAGCCATAAGCTCAGTGTCATTTTTTCAGTAGGCGGAGGGCTTTCCATTATTAGTGATCTAGGTGGTTGTAGAGCCACACGATCACTTGTACCTGACTGTGAAGGTACTGTCCCCCCTTGCACATACTTTCCCTGCTATTGTGCAGTGCTTTTTGCTTCAAAGCCATCAGAAACTAGCTGAGGTACCCATTACACAGGCGATCAATCAAATTTATATTCTTGTTCGTTTGTATTGTTGGGCAGGAGAGACACCAGGAGTCCAATAGACCTCTGATGTCTCCATAAAGAGTGTGCTGGGAAACCTTTTGCTGTCATAAAGAGAACCTGTCACCTCAAATGCTGCCACTTTTCGATAGAATAGAGTTTAGTAAAATAAAAACCCTGACTGTCTTCCCCACGGAAGTATGGCAGCTTGGACAGCAGCAGTGAGGAGGATGAAGATGTGGAGGAGAGGCCGGCGGAGGTGAAGAGTCCGTCCCCCCACACGCCTCCCTGAGTCTGATAAGTTCTTCCAGACTGTGAGCTACCCAGCCTTCCTCTCCACCATTAACTGGGAGAAGAAGCTCATCCGACACCCTGAGGAGGTGACCCTGGAGAATGGTAGAGGGGGGGAACTGATCAGAGACGGGGTGGGGAGGATGGAAGTGGGACAACACAAAAATGTGAAATTTACACCAGTTGGTACAATCTCCTATGTTGCTTTTTTTTAAACAAAATTAAAACAAAAAAAGAATTAACAACGCTGCTGGTCACATGGTGTTATGCTCAGTTGCAGTAAAACATAATACCTGTACGTTTTACCATTTATTACTGTGGTCATCAGAACACACACTGATGCAGTATAATTATATATATACTTTCAAAATCGCATTACACTGTAGTTCTTTTTGTGTGCTGTGGTTTCATTGCAATAGCTGACTGTGGAACCATTGCCAAGTGAATGCAGATAGAAGTTAACTTACATCATAATGTTTATTAATGTGTTTTTGTCATTTTAGGGGGGTACAGAGAGATTACAGGAAAGACCACTATAAAGGCAGTAAAGTTGCTTGTTGGTTTGTTCATTCCAATGGAGAAGGGCTGATCGATGGAACACATACAGATTATATTGTGCCCGATATCTTCAGCATTGCTGAATGATCAGGTTTTTCAACAGTTACACACAGAAACAAGGAGATGCAGAATCATTCATCATTAATATGTAACTTCTCATTTTGTGAAAAGAGTATTCCTTGGATCACAACTGACATATAAATAAATCACCAAATCTACTTATGTGCTTATGTACTTTGTGTTGTTCTGTGTCAAACGTTCTACTAGCTGAATAAAAGTTTTCAAACAGCACTCATCATTTATTGAAATGTGTCTTGCTAACAAAATTCCCAGAAAGACGTCTACTTCCCTGCTTATGCTAGGCAGATAAGTCATCACTGAGGAAAACAAACAGGTGGCTGGTTTGTTACATGTCCTACACTGCTGGCACGTTTACCCACATGCTTTCTTCTTTAGGGCTAGTTCACACCAAGCGCGTTCCCGGAGCAGAGCAGTTACAGAACGGATCTAAACTGCGTCCAATGTATTCCAATGGTATTTTGGGCTCTAGTTCACACCGCAAAGTTCAGTTCCAGAGCATGTAAAAAAAACTGCAGCAAGCCCTATTTTTCCTGCTCTGGACCGCATGAAAACGCATGCAATCACCCAGGAACACACTGAAAGTCCATTTCAGGCAAAATATATATAATTTCTTTTTTTACTAAATGGCCTGGAACGCATCAAAAGCACGGCAAAACCCACTGCACCGCGTGTGCAGAAACTCGTGCAGATCTGGTCTGCATTTGGTGTGAACAAGCCCTTAATGTAATGTAAAGCACTAGAAAAAAATACAGTGGACCTGGGAGGGGTCAAATCATATTATTACAATTTCACAGAAAGCCTTATGTTAGTGAAGAGCAACAAGCTTACAGGATCAAGTTAAATGGATTGCAGTACATTTTGGTGGCATTAGTGATCAGAGTAACTGAGGATGACTTTTTAATTGAATGGGCAATATTTTTTCATATTCATGTAGTTTTTAATACAATACTTATTAGACTTATTGGGCCTTTGTGTATTATTTTCTCTTTTAAGGTAGTATGTAAATTTTGTACAGTATATGTAAAAATGAAATAGGATGTAAAAACTGCTCTCCACTGCCAGCCTCGTTAATGAGCAATGTGAAATGTCAAACAAAAGCTGCAGTTTGTTCTCTGTTTAATTTTCGAATTTATTCATGAGACTGGCCATGCACTGTAATATTTTTTTTGTTCAACTTGCGGGCTGAGCTGAGAAAATATAACAGATTCAGGCATCAATGCTTATGAGCGTTGATCAAGAAATCACCCGCTGTCTTCATTATATTCTGAGAATGGCTGCCAGCTGAAAGGGTGCCGAGAGTGGAACCCACTGTGCGAATTTTTGCCAGTTCGTCAAGAACCACCCGAAATTCGAATAGTGTATGGCCAACTTCACTAAAGGCAACAGTTTTCCTTTGGGTGCTTTAATAAATATTGAAGTGGCTTAGTGTGTGGGTCAAGAGCAGGGGTAGCCAAACTCCGGCTCTCCAGCTGTGGTGGAACTACAAATCCCATGAGGCATTGCAAGATTCTCACAGCCACAAACATGACTCCTGGAGAGAGATGCTTCATGGGATTTGTAGTTTCACCACAGCTGGAGGGCCGGAGTTTGGCTACCCCTGGTCAAGAGCATCACACCCCTGAGATCAATTAACATGCAGCACAAACTTTCGGGATCAATTACCCAAATAGTAAATAAATGGGGGCTTTAAGTTGATGCGTGTGAACTGAATATCAAAGCCATGTTGGTCATAAAATCAAGTTACATTTATTAATTCCTAAGATAATAAAAAAAACTATAACAAAAATACATAAAAACTATGGATGTGCCGATACCATTTTTTTAAGACCGAGTACAAGTACCAATACTTTTTCTCAAGTACTCGCCGATACCAATTACCAATACTTTTTTTTGTGTGTCATGTGACAGTTTTCTAAAACACTACAGACTAATGATTTTGGCAGAGTTATGGAGCGCCAGGGCCCAGTATCGGCTGCAAACACTGCCACCATGGTAGTTGTGCCACTCATTCCAGGCTGTAGTTAGAAGGACTGCAAATCTCAGCAATACATTATACAGCAATGCAGAATAATATGAAGCTACATAATCTGTGTGGCCAGGGCTATGCAGCGTCACAGGCGGCTGTGCAGAGTCTTACTAGGGCTGTACTGTCTCACCAGGGCTACATGTGGGTTTCACCATGGCTGTGTGGTCTATCTAGGGTTGTGTGCGGGTCTCTCTAGGGCTGCGTGGTCTCACCAGGGCTGTGCAGTCATACCAGGGTTGAGTGCGGGTTTCACATGGCTGTGTGCTCTCACCAGGGCTGTGTGCTCTCACCAGGGCTGTGTGCGGTCTCATCAGGACAGTGCAGTCTCCCCAAGGCTGTGCAGGTGGATGCGGGAGGCAGGTGTCACCAGGGCTGTGCAGGCGGCAGGTCTCTCTATGGCTGTGCGGGTGGCGGTGTCACCAGGGCTGTGTGGGTGGTAGAAGTAACCAGGGCTGAGCAGGTGGTGGGTGTCACCAGGCTGGGCAGGTGTGCCCAGAGCTGTGCAGGCAGTGGGTGTCCCCATAGCTGTGTGGGCGGTGGGTGTCACCAGGGCTGTGCGGGTGTCACCAGGGCTGTTATAGTTTGTTTTTTAATATCTTGGAATTAATAAATGTAACTTGATTTTATGAGCAACATGGTTTTGATATTCAGTTCGCGAGCATCAATTTAAAGCCCTTATATATTAACTATTACTGGGGCGATTGATCTTGAAAATTTGGGGTGTATGTTATTTGGGTGCTTCAAATTAACCAGGTCAGTGACTTGGCCACAAAGTCAGTACTTACAAATTTGTGTAAAAAAAAACTTGGGGATTCAGTGAGTCACATATAAAAAAAACAACTAATACCGTTATGCAATCTTTAGGGGTCTATTCACGAAGCTGCCGAAGGATCTGACCGTAGCTTCGGCCGATCCCTGGGCTAGCTTCGGCCCCAGGACCCCTTCGGTTCAGTAGAACCGAAGGGAAATTTTAATGTAACTAGTATTGCACCAGAATGTCAGTAACCAAGAGCCACAATTATTTGTGGTGAGGACAAGAGCTATTGACAGAGCTCCTTCAGTAGCTTTGGCCACCACCATTTAGTCTTGGGCAAAGTTGATGGAAAAAATGTCTACATGTCTGCACAAACAATGGCAAAGGCAGATTAATCCAAGTAGGTAAGTAACCAAACTTTATTGCCCGGAGCACATCCCCACTGATACTAGAGGCACTTCACTGGTCACCATTGTCTTGTTACACATGCATTGTGATATTATTTGCTATATCTGTCTCTAGCATTTGTCTCTACCCCTCCCTGTAGTTCAGTTTTACTCCGTGTAGATAGCTCCACTAGTCTTCATTATGTTCCAGTCTGTATCTCAGCCACATGTCCTTTGCTGAGTGAATCACGCTATGATCTTTTGACCTATCATATGTTCGCTGATTTAAAGATCTGCGCTGTTTGGATAAAACTTCTCAAAGCTCTTCAAGGTGTCATTATGGATTGAGTCAACTGTCTGCCAACTCACTGTGACTGGGAGATATTGCTATCTTATCACAACTGTAAGTTACAGAGATCACACTTTCAATGTTAAACTGTGGAGACAGAACAACCACCAAGGGCACTTCTCCAAGGTCCACCACTAATACCAGGGATACTGGCCACCACTGTAAAGGCACACTCCTTCACCTGCTGCCATGCTACCAACACACTTCTTTACACTGCTGCAACAGCACACTTCTCCACCGACTGACACTTTACCAGTGCAGTTCTCCACTGTCAACCACTTTAATGGCACACTTATCCACTGACCATAACTACAATGTTGCACTTCTACACTGATGGCACCAGTAATATCACATTTCATCACCACTATACTAATACACTTCTTTACTGACCATATATGTAACTGTGCAGTTCCCCACTGACCACTGCTTTAAAGGGTATCTATTTTCAAAAACAACAAATACATATACTGTATATTTCTATATTGCATTTCCATAAGTTATATTCCACCGCTAATAACCATATCGATCTAGAAGTCTGTAAACTTACTTATTGAAGATGTCCATAGGATGTAGTTCCTCAATGTACAGACACAATTTCGTGCAGCTCTGTGAATATGCACTTCCTTGTGTAGCAACTCTTATGCCTTGTTTACAAAGGGTGATTTGGGAACCTATGCGGCAGGAAACTATGGATACCTCTGTTACACCCATAGCCAGTATAGAGTCCCCACATTTACCGTAACCACAACTATGGACATAATAAATATCATCCATGGAGGGGTATTCTACATTAACCAATGAATTGACAGATTGTACACCCACTAACTACCAATGTAAATTAAGCATTTAGACTTACCACAATGTAACAAGGTATTTAGACTGGCCTCTGTCGCAAATGCAACAGCACACTCTGGTTGTATTACTGACTGTGATATGTTTTTTGAGCTGTAGATGGCCCTGTGGTGCAATGTACGTTTTCAATGTGCATGCTAATCTATGATACACAGGAAGTTCTGATATATATGTTTCCTACACAATGCTGTATTCTGATGTAATGTCCTTCTAAGCAAGTAAAACTTAGTTCAGCAACGGCGCATGCGCGAGCTTGACCAAGATGGCCGCACACTAACCAGCTCCGCGCCTGCCCGGGAGAATAACTGACTTTTACGGCTGATCACCGGACTCGTTCTCGCTCCAAACACTGATTCCTAGCCTCGGCCTCCCGCCGCCGATCGATACATACCGAGATGTCGCAAACCAGAAGTAGGGGCGGTAAGATGAATCAACCAACCCTCCACGAGGCCTTGGGCCGCGCGGCCCACAAACTGGCCCCAGCGCCAGCAATACTACAGGCAGAGGACTCTAATTCCTCAGTGGAGCCCCAAGACCCACAGGGAGATAGCTTACAAACGGATCCGTCGGATCCTGAATTGACACCGTCCCTGATGGCCCAATTTGAGGTAACCCTGCACAAGGCACTGGATAAGGTCTCAAAAGAACCAAGCTAATGCAAGAAGACAAGTAGTTCAGATATGAAGTTTGCAATCGCAAAGGTCAACAATAGCAACTACCAGCTATGGAAGTTCAAGCTTGAAATGCTGCTAAGCAAAGATGACTTACGGCAAGTACCGAGTACAGACAGACCCACTAATAAATCCATGAAGGAATGGGAATCCAAAGAAGAACAGGCAAGCAAAAGCAATTATAAGTCTGCTAGTGGAAGATGAACGTGTCCAGAGAGCATTGATAAATGTCTCTTTTTCACATTGGTCTAAGGTCGAGAGTGGCGTGCCCCAGGGTTCTGTGCTGGGCCCCATACTGTTTAACCTGTTTATTAATGATATTGGGGAAGGTGTTAATAGCCATATTTCTGTGTTTGTAGATGATACCAAAATCAGGAGGGTAATAGACATGGGCTTGGACATTATAACATTACAGGATGACCTGGATAAAATAGGGGAGTAGGCAAATATATGGCAGATGATGTTTAATGTTGAAAATTGAAAAGTAATGCATTTTGGTGTTTAAAACCAGGTAAGCGGAATACCTATTAATGGGAACTCCACTAGGGAAGTCAGATATGGAAAAAGTTTTGGGGGTCATAGTAGGCCACAGATTGAATAATAGCTTGCAATGCCAGGCTGCATCAAACAAAGCAAGCAGAGTACTGTCATGTATTAAAAAGGGAATGTACTGTAGAGATAAAGCAATAATTTTGACACTTTATAGATCACTGGTTCGGCCTCATCTTGAGTCAGCAGTCCTGTTTTGGTCACCAATCCACAGAAAGGATGTCCTTGAGCTAGAGAGAGTCCAGAGAAGGGCAACAAAACTAATTAAGGAGCTGGAGAACCAAAGCTATGAGACAAGGTTGCTAAATTTAAACTTGTTCACGCTAGAAGTGAGGCGATTAAGAGGGGACATGATTTTGATGTACAAAATGTTTAGTGGTGATGGCAACATCAGCAATAAACTTTTAACTGTTAACTCCCTATTAAAGACTAGAGGCCACCACCTAAAATTGGTGGAGAAAAGATTTAGCCACAAAGGGCGAAGGGGCTTCTTTTCAGTTAGAGCGGTTACATTTTGGAACTCTCTTCCGCAAGCAGTGGTATCAGCAGAGAGTATTGAATCATTCAAAAAGCATTTAGATACCTTCCTCAGAGACTGTAACATACAGGGATACAGGTACTCTTAAAAACTAGATCACACAGGGACTTGTGTACACACATACACATGCACAATCACACACAGACACACAAAGGTTGAGCTTGATGGACCTATGTCATTATTCAACCTCAAATACTATGTAACTATGTAACTATATGACCAGCTCATCCACATCAGAAAAGAAAATACAGCTAAAGGTATGTGAAATGCATTACAAAAACTGCATGAACGTTCAAACCTAAACAGTAAAATATATCTGCTATGCAAGCTATATAATATGAGGCTAGAAAAAGGCCAGGAAATGCGTGAACATGTGAATGCCATGCTGGAAGTCGTAGACGTGCAATTGGAGAGGAAATGAAAGATAACCACGTGCTGGCATTACTTCAATGCAGCCTTCCAGAGTCATACAGTGCTCTTACTAACACTCTAGAAACCAGACCTGAGCAGGAACTAACACTAGAATACGCCAAAGGAAAATTAATCGATGACTATGACAGAAGGAAAGCAAATATGAACAATAAAGAAAATGAGAATAGCCCTTAAGCTACATGAGAGCACAAAGCAAAGCAAAGTAAGAAACGCATGTTTTCGATGTAAAAAGACTGGTCACCTGAAAAAGGACTGTTCAATCTGGAAAGCCAAGCAGAGAAAGCAAGAGGCATCTACAAGAGCTAAGGCAGCTACAAAGGAAACTGCAGGCACATCCAGCAGTGCTACCTTCGAAGTGACTCAGAAAAGTATACCGCACAGATGGTGTATTGACCACCACACCAAACACTCCTGAACAAAATGGTGTAGTAAAACAGAAAGATTGCATTCTTATAGAAATGGCCAGATGCATGCTTATCTATGATACACAAGAAGTTTTCCTATATACAGGACATGTTTCCTGCACAATGCTGTATACATCTTCTAAGCAAGTAAAACTTAATTCAGCATTCCTCAAGATCTCAGTGCTTCATCTAAACACACAACCAACAGCCTCAACTAGACATTGATGTTCAGCACTTCTAGCAGAATTAGAGAAGTCATAAACAGGCATGCTCAGCTTTGCTGTTGTAAACCACTAACACTAATTGTGAAGTCTTTCCAGTCCCTTGCTGGAGATCATCAGCATTGCGATGCAGCAAAGGGTAAAATAGAAAATAGGTATGTTACAAGAAAAACTTTTTTGCTTATGATAAACAGTGCTTTTTGAAGCTAAATCTCATTCAGTTAGGGTTTGCTTGTATTTTAAACAGTGGAGGAAACAAATGAGCCCAGCAATGTGTGTGTGTGTGTTTGTGTGTGTGTGTTTGTGTTTTATGTCTGAGAACCTTTTACAACCACAATGCAGCTGCCAAGCTAGACAAACGGAGGAAGACATCATCATTTCCTCCTTGCAAAAAGTATTTGAGAGGCTTAATAGTTAAAAACTGTGACATGTCTGCAGGTACAGAAGATACCACTGGATAAAGCTGTCACCAGCAGTGGCTGATCTTCTGTAATTTATTAACATGTCTTCATATACTTCGTAGAATGCTCGTCTGTCACACAGAAAAGACATCCATCCAGCATGGGTCACCTTCTGTTGGTCTGCACTTTGTTCTTCCATGTTGTGTCCTCGGTTAAGGGCGACTTTCTGATTGAAGGACTGAGAAACATCAAGGTCAGTGTCATCTTCTATCTTTGATCTTGTTACTTGCATAGATCTGTAAATATTTACTAATATCTGTATTAATTTATCATTAGTATTTCTTTATAAGTACATGTAGGCATAAAGCTCCATTCACACCTGAGCGGCTGTTCGTGCGTATTCGGCTGTAAATTAGAATATGTAAAAATATTAGCATTTTCGTCCCTCATAGTCTTCCGCACGGAAAACCATGCGGGAACCGCAAACGCTATGTGTGAATCCAGCCTAAGGGCATCCTAACAAGACAATTCGTAAATTGAGGCTTCCCATACATTTGGGATAAGTATAGGACAAACATTAGCTTGAATAAAGGTAACTAAGTAAAACACATTTCTAATATTATTGCTGGAAATGTTAGAAATTCCAAATGAGAAAGTGTCATTTAAACCCACACGGCCTGCTTTTTTCTAGCAATGTAACCTGTTCCATCCCTAGAAGCAATTGTGAGAACTTCCAGAGTTCTAAGAAGTCTGTCTTGTTATACTGCAATGTTCAGAAACCCTCCTGTTACTAGTAATGGATTTGAAAAGTGTCAATAAAATATTCTTCAAAAAAGCAGAAGTTTTAATAAGGAAAAGTTAAAGAAAATAAAGGAAAACAGTTTTCCACTCTAAAGTGAGGAAAGTATGGCTGCTTTAGTTGTAAACAACAATGATGGGAAGCTCATGGTTGTCTAGGATGGCTGCCTGGGGACATTCATTTTTGGAACTGGTCATGTTATGTGCAAGGGATATTTTATGCTGAAAAAAAATGTAAGAAATATAATCCTTCATGTTCTGATTTATGATATTAAAGGGGATCTATGGTCAAAAACGAAGAAGAAATATGTATTTCTATATTTAATTTCCATAAGTTCTATACCACTCCTAATAACCATATCGATCTAGAAGTTTGTAAACGTAACTATTGAAGATGCCCATAGGATGTACTTCCTTAATTCACAGACACAATTTCACTTAGCCCTGTGAATATGCACTTCCTTACTTCTCTCAAAGCCTGCCTTTTGAACTACAACTCAACATCTGAACAATGTAAGTGTATAATTGCCTGCTGGAAGCAATGCATGATGGAATATGTAGTCTTGAGAAATCGAGATTCCATCACATCAAGCAGCAGGGAAAGAGATACAAAGCACTCCGAGAATCCTGGAAGTTGATGAAAGTGATGGGCAGACGGAAGGCAGCACTCACTACATAAAAGGGATTTTTTAAAATAGGCTTTGATCGCATTATCAAAAACAACTCTAGTATATATTCCTATTACAATACGGAGGTTATAACAGGATGGTAACATAGTAACATAGTATTTGAGGTTGAATAAAGACATAAGTCCATCAAGTCCAACCTATTGCGTACATGTGTATGGTTCTGCTGATGTGTGCGTATGTATAGGTCCCTGTGCCATCTCATTGTTGAGAGTACCTGTACCCCTGTATATTACGGTCCCTCAGGAAATCGTCCAAACGCTTCTTGAATGATTCCACACTCTTTGCTGAAATCACTGCCTGTGGCAGCGTGTTCCCTACCCTAACTGCTCTAACTGAGAAGAACCCCCTTCGCCCCTTGTGCTGGAATTTGTTTTCCACCAATTTTAGGTGGTGGCCTCTAGTCTTTGTTATGGAGTTAATCGTAAAGAAATTGTGGCTAATGTTGCTATCACCATTGAACATCTTGTACATGAAAATCATATTCCCCCTTAATCTCCTTAATTCCAGTGTGAACATATTTAAATTTAGTAGCCTTGTCTCATAGCTTTGGTCCTCCATTCCCCTAATGAGTTTGGTTGCCCTCCGCTGGTATATGTTGTGACTGTAGAACTCCTGAAACAAAATACATTTATTCAAATTTGACTTGTAATAAAACTTGTAAGTGTAAGTGTTTTTTGGAGAGCGAGGAAAGGTGATAACATCTGTCACATTTTTATTGCAACCTGTGTCCCCGGTGGGGAACTTGCTCCTCACTCAGAATGAAGGGAATTTATTGAATCTGTAGCACAGAAAATATGAAGCAATTGCCCATGACAACCAATCAGCTTCTATCTTTCATTTTTAACTCCTAACTAAAAAAACTGAAGAGAGAAGCTGATTGGTTGCTATGGGCAACTGCACCAGCTTCTGTCTGCACCAGTTTTGATAAATTCCCCACAATAAGTATGTTTACAAACGTCTAGATTTATATGGTTCTTAGGAGTGGGATAGAACTTATGGAAATGTAATATAGAAATGAAGATTTTTTTTTGGACCATACATACCCTTTAATGTTTTACAGTTTCGATCTACTTTGTGAAGTTTCACTATTTGCTCCTTGTAGTGACTCAGTTTGCCAGTAAATTATAATTAGTAAAAGGATGTAAAATGTATGTGTGTTTGTATAAACTAATAGGGTTTTTTCTTTCTCTGTCTTTATTTACAGAAGAGAAACACTGCAGAGGTAAGAAATATTAGTAAATCTAAGTTAAAGTTGAACTGAATAACAAAAAGTAAAGATTTGCTAGGTTATAGGGAACATCTAGAAATGTTAATTGTGTGATCAGCACTGGGAATGTCTACCTCTTGTATGGAATTCATCCTGAAATATAGCAGTACACGTCCTGGTTTGTGAGGGTACCTAGGCACTCCTGTGCCTACAGCCAAATAGCTGCATATCTGCAGTGTTAGATCTAAGTCACTGCTGCTTCTGACTGTTAGTATCAGCAGACTGTGCATTTTCTAGTGGGTTTCCTGAAGCCTGGCAATGTGCAACACAAAGAAATGCCATTGTGTTTAATGGTGCCCATTCACACCTGAGTGTTGTGTCTTGAGACTCCTGAAGCCTGGCAATGTTCAGCATGAATAATGTCATTATTTTTAACTGCCTCCGGGCCGGCCGTAGTAGAAAAACGGCCGGCCCGGAGCTCTCATTGAGTGTTGTGTCGCTTGTAGCTGGAAAAAGTACATTAGTTTTGTTTTTTTAGGCAGAATCACACGTTTTTCACCCCATATACTTCAGTGGAAGCTTAACATCAACATCTAGCATCTGTCTCCTTCTTCTAGTAACTAGCTTTACATTGACAAAGACAAAAAACACTGGAGCCTGAAAATGCCTGAAAACCACATAAAATCACCTGGAACTGTTCACGTTCAAGTGTAATGAAATGAAGGCATAGCATGAGATTTGATGATGTCACCACTGTGGTGCTCACTGTTGTTCTTGCTGAAGCCTCTGACATGTGAAAACCCCACTTTTACCAAGATGACCTCCTCCATATGGATACAGTATAGAACAAGCACAAAGTCCAATGAGAGCACCAAACACAAGGTTCAAGAGTCCACATTATTTTATTATCATTGCTAGTTCATAACAGGATAACACAAAACAGCCAATGTGCTTTAGGGGCCCAAAAGTTATCCCCCTTCTTCAGGGCTCAGTTGTTGCAAATGGTAAGACTCAGAAATGGCATATTCACCCAAAATACTTTTTAGCTGAAAGATACAAAATTCCAGGATTCTCTGTATCAGAACCTGTTGATGTGTTGGTGCTCTTATTGGACTTTGTGCATGTGAACCCTCAACTCTGGACTCCTTGTGTTAAGGGGTGTCCTGTTGTGAGGAGAGCAGCCTTACTAGAGCCACTCTGCCCTGCTATAATCTGACTGACTCACTGAAAGGTCAAATCCAGCACCTCGTTTTCACAAGTTTTGGACAGTATGGAACAAGGCATTGTAAGCCAGTAAAGGGAAATGTTCAGCTGCAGGGAGACCACAGGCAAAACTGGTGACTAGTCCTATGTCCTTTGCCTGACTTTTTGAGGCACAGTTTCCAGAATTTAGTTCCTCTTTAAGAGGTGTACCGCTCACCCCTGCTGAATGATTTGGGCCCTCCTATCCTGTCTAGAGTACACAATTCCATTGCTGCCCCAAAGAACTCATGGGGGGGTGATTTACTAACCTAAACACACACACACACACACCAGGTGTGTGTGATTTTCACACAGCAAAACGTATTTATCAACCAAAAAGTCTCTAAAAGCATATTTCCACTAATGCCATATATGGAAAAATCATGCACATGATGCATATATAATGCTGCTTCACAGTTTAGACAAAAATGGTTAGCTCATGCATTTACATTCCTTGCATTCATCAACGCAAGCAACACAACATAGAGCTAATTTACCCAACATCACCTTGGAATTCCTTCAGGGCTTTGCACAACACACCTGCTGGGTGTGTACACATTACAAAGGTGTTTAGATTCCACCCATAGATCATGCTGGGAGGGAACACACTGCAGAGGTGTATACACGCTCGTGGTGTGTTTATAAGGTTAGTAAATCAACCCCATGGACTCATCAGTGGTGACCAATTAACTGACTTCCATGCTGGTGATCTTTTGCTTGCAGTAAACATATTTAATAACTTTGAGAGAGAGGACACAGGACATCCATGGACTTGCAGACTCCAGAAAAGAGAGACAAAAAGTACTTACAACCTTCACAGATTAAGCTGACCCGGCATTCTGTCAACAGAGCCCCTGGCTGTACAATACTGGATATTGCACTTACTGACTGCTTGGGGAGAAATCGCTATACTTCAGTCAAGGACCAAGCTACTACCCAGCTTTTCAGGCTCCTTATTCAGGCTAAAGAATCTCCATGGCATCTACAGCCCCAGGCTTCACACACTAGGCCTCAAACCCAAGTCTCAGTCTAAGCAAAAGTCACCCTCCTCAGGCAGCAGCCCCAGGAGGATCAGACAATCCCCAGCATTGTTCCCCAGGCAGGAGGCCCTAGGGGAAGTCTGACTTCCCAAAGTCCCTCCCAGTTATTTATACCTTCACCACTGGCAATAATCCTCCTAGTGGTTGGCCAGGGAGGTAAAAACATTCTTAACTCTGATTAGTGCAGCCTCCCACATTATATTTCTTTCCATGATGTTGTTTATTTTTATGGTAGACCAGGGAACCAACACTAGAGTGTATATGCATACTTAATATAGTTTAATAACCATGCCGAATACGGCTGTTATATAACTTACCTATAAAATCACACTATTAATCTTCAACAAACCTGTTAAAAATATAAATATACAGGGTAAGTTAGTCTACAACATAGCTATTCATATCTTACATTCCTATGGCTTAAAGATTATTTTGACTTTTACATATAATCAGGTACTTCTTATGTATTTGTACTCCCCAGCCAGTGAATGATATCGAAGTCTACAGTATTAATATTGACTGTAAGGTGACATCCCGGTTCGCTCATAATGTCATCACAAGCAGAGCCATTAATAGAGCCAGTATGTCTAAAGAGGCCATGTTTAAAGTGGATTTGCCAAAAACGGCTTTCATTACTAATTTTAGCATGTAAGTATTTCGGCATTTAATTCCAAAAGCTACAGTATTCATTCTGTTTTGGGTGGCTGATAATGGTGTGGAAGACTGAGTTGAAAATTACACATTCCTTTGCATACCTTCTATCCCAGGAGGGACTTTTAAGCATTGGATCTTTACATCATCGCTGGAAAGGTGAACATAAGTTTACACATCAGCTGTTCTATTGTAATCTTCCTAAATAAATCTGTCATTTTGGTAATAATCAAAATGACAGATTTGGTGGAAATATTTGAAGATAAAGTCTAATGATACTTCTATACCGTTGCTTACCTATTTATGGACAATATGTACTGTATGCAGGGCCGGATTTAGTCTCTCTGCTGCCCCAAGGCCAGGTTCCTCAATGCGCCCCCCTATCTGCCAACCCCCCCCAAAAACAAGTGGCGGCTTCCTCGCTGTACATTTAGCTCCGCTTGCCCAAAGCAGGGTTAATGTAGAAAACATCTACCCGCCGGTCCCCCGGAAATGCATGTCCCGGGCATCGGGAGATGGGAATTCCACACCACTGCTTCCTCCTCTACTCCCTTTTCCCCCCAAGGCCGGGTCTTGGTTGGCCTTTTGGGAAATCCGGCCCTTACTGTATGTGAACGGCTTTAACTGTCAAAGGGTTTGGAATTCTATTCAGCCAGTCTTGTGATCCAGGCTGTCCTGCTAGAAAGCAGCAACAGGTCCTGGAACTTTGTGCAGAGGATAAAAGCAGGCTGATGTCAAGACAGATTAAGATTCTTATGCTGATTGTATGTACGAATCCAGTAATTTATTTTAACACATACATTGCTGGATTAAATTGTGTTTTTTTACATTCTGCCTGCAGTTTATCTTTAATCAGCAAGACTAATGAATAATAAAAAAAATATATTTCTGATTTGTTGCTATGGCTGTTTGCTTTTCTTGATAGGTTTTAGAATCCCTTTTGTCAATTTAATTTAGATCACCAAAATATTATTGTTGGTAGCACTCGTTAAAATCATCCAAATTGTCTATCACAACCTGCATTCTGCATATTATTTTGCCCCGATCTGTCTAAAAATTGTGTTTGTTAATGATAAATCTGTTTTATCTGAAAACAGTAACCTTCTTGTGGTAATTTAATGCAGGGTAATTGATGGAAAAACATATTTAGGGGAGATTAAAGAAAAAGAAGTTGCAAAGAAACAGTATGAAACTGCTGTCAAAAGAGGTCAGACAGCTGGACTTGTCAAGTAAGTTTATTAGTAATTCTTTATATCTATATATATATATTTTATGACATGTTGTTATTTTGTTCACACATGCAACCTTATTTAATAAAGAGTTCGTATTCTTAAAGTGTGCAAAGGATGTCACTTCTCTATTTGTCCTAGTGACCGTTGTCACCAAGTCAGAAAGTGTGAAGAAATCCAGAGATGCCACCAGAACAAGACCTGGGGGTAAATCTTCCGATGGGGACACTTGTTCATTTAATAATTGTCTAGGAGGAGCATTCCCCTTTGAGGAGATTTCCTTTCAGTTCCTGCTGCATTTCTGAGACAGGAAGTGAAAGGAAATATTCCCAATGGAGAAAACAATGACACTTTAAGTGCTAATTGGTACATACAGTGACTTATAGCAACAATTTAGAAGTCATCTTTTACTGTTATGGCATCAGCAGAGGTAGTTCTGAATTACCAAATTAAGCAAATGTGTATTTTCCCATACTAGAGAGAGAAAAAAAGATCCGTTGAACCACAGGCACTGTAAGCAATCTGTATTTACCTTCACACCCTGATCTGACACCAGAGCTCCCCTAAATTCTAGGGCATGCTTAGACTTTTTGAAGGTCATAACTGGCACAAGGGGAGGAGCTAAGCAAGTTCCTCCCGCATGCAACAGCGCTCAGACCTTGTAAGTGGCCACCCAGTCCTGCATTATGCAGAGGAAGGGGGTCTGTGTGAGCTGTTGCCTGTCCCTTGAAGTTTCATGTAGGCCTCTTCCCCTAGCTTAGCTAGAGCCTATAGAACAACATAATAGTGCCATGTGTCTCCATGGACTTTCAAAGGAACAAACACTGCAGAGATATAGACATTATATAGATATACAATATACATATATACAATAAGTAGACAATACATATATATACTGTATATATATATATATATATACATACACAGTATGCAACAGTAACCGTTCACGTGCTTGACAGCTAGAAGATCAGTTATATTGGCTAAACAACAATTGATGAGCATCACTTGCTGTTTGGTAGTTCAGGCACCATAGCGCCACCCAGTGGAGGCTGGAAGAATGAGTTGAGGAGTCCTTCTTTGGCAGTAGATAGAAGGATGCCTGTGTGAGTCCGTGGAGCAAGAAGTCAGCAAGACAGGGAGGAGACAAGGAGAGGAAGCGGCCGGAGAGGGGAGAAGGGACACTCGTCATATATATATATGTATACACACAACAGCCTGTTCTATGAACTTGCTGAAAAATGCAGATAATTGAGAATGAAGCTGAGGAAAATTCAAGTACCATAATTTGTGTTTGAGTGGTAAAGGGTATCAGGTGAGGAGTGATATTAGTGTAAGTTGTGGACCTATATGAGCTGTAGCTGCTCTGAGGTATAAAAAAGGAAATTTCTATCACCTAAAAGATGCTAGGACAGAAGAAGAAGCCTTGAGAACCAAAGCAGTAGCAGGAAGCAACAACCTCGTTACCCATGTAGATTTATCCACCCGGAACACCAGGTATAGGTATTAGTAGCCCAATGGCTGAAAAACCTATGAGTGGGAGATACTTTGCAAAGCTCATATCAGCCTGCATCATAATTTGGGGGTGGGGTGCTTTGATTAGAATCTAACTACTAACTACTAACTTTATAAGGGTGTTTTCAATGGACAGCAGCACAATAGGTGAGTAAAGCTTAGCTCTAGGAGTTAATGTTGAAGTTGGGCACTGCACTGGTTTCTGGTAATAACAAAGCCAGAATCAAACCAGTGCACAGAAGAGGATTTTTTTTACTAACAAAGGTAATAGGAGTGATTTTATGCAGAAAGTTAATTTTTCAATACACACGTCCACTTAAATCAGGCTGCCCATAGACTAACATTTAGCTTCCACTCAGATCAGCCCATGTGAAAAGGTCCTTAAAGTGAAAAGATACACAGATGAACCAACATGGTAGTGATTTCAGCAAAAAACGTGGAATTGTTCAAGAAACTTTTGGACTATTTTTTAAGGGACAGTAATATACAGGGGTAAAAGTACTCCTAAAAACGAGATCCTATAGGTTGGACTTGATGGACTAATGTCTTTATTCAACCTCAAATACTATGTAACATGACATTCTATCCAAAATATCTGAGTTATCTGGAAAGAAATTCAAATCATTAACTACTAAACATATACTGTATAGCTTGTATACCCAAAACCAGAAATCCTGAAATCATACAAAAGTATGTTGATCATACTGAAAAGACCATTTAAAGGAATAAATCATATTAATAATTTAGCCATTTGGGTGTGGGAGTATATAAAACAAAAGGCATAACTTTTTTAAGCTGATAAAAAAACAGCTTTAAATAAAATTGATCAGAAATCTATTCAGTTTCCCTAAAAGAAAAAAAAAAAGAAAAAGAAAAAAAATAAATAAATATATTTAGCAGGTTGAAAGTCCTTTCGTCCTCTGCGCTATCCCACCTGTCATTCACCTATTTGCAAAAGATCAAGCAAACAGTAAAGAACTGTCCCTGAACTACAACCAACATCAACATATGCAGCTGAACTTTGAAAATAAAGCTAGCCATCTATATATACTTTAGTGCAAATCTTCTTTAGCTTTTTTTCTATGATGATGAAACAATAACTCCTAGTACAAAGATACTGTCTAAAATGTTGTGGGAACAGCAAACATTGTGCTGATGATTATCACACAAATAAAACAAATATGCATTATTTGAATGTATGTTTCTACATTCTTTGTGGAAAATCAAAACTCAAGGTTACATATTTAATTAAGTTGCTAACTATACGGTATGAAATATGTATTTAACCATATCAGTCTTGCAGTTTGTAAACGTACTTATTGAAGATGTTCATAGAATGTGTCACAACTCTCATAGAGTCTGCCTTCTGAACTACAGCTCAGCATCTAAACAATTTAACATTGTCATTGCTTGCTGGAAGCAATGCATGATGGGCTATATATACTTGTGTTTTTGTTTATGTCAAGACATTTCTGTGACACTCAGTGTATTTGTGGTTATACACTCATGTACAAGTGTCACAGAAATCTATATCCACTCTGTCTTTTATAAACGTAAAATTTATTGTGTAACTGTTATTTTTACTCCTCTACATTTTAATTTTCAATTAAGGAGTGGCTAAGCCCCTGATTTTGTCAAATTGTGTGAGATCATGGGTGCAAATCTCTCTTCATGGCTGTTCATAATGTGTCACATTTTCTTCTCGGTCAGAGAAGAGAAGTACAATTGTTATTAAACACTAGGGATGGGCTCAATGTTATATTATATTTTTCATTTTTATTGTTTCACTTTAAGCAATGTTAAAATCACTGCTCCTTTAAAAAACGGTATTGTTTTGTTTTAGATATAACACATAGGTTAAAAGTGTACAATTGTTCTGTTCACAACAGAAATGCTTTAGAACCATTAGAGTATCTGCATCTATAGAACCCTAAAACCTCAGCTGATCCAGTGGAAGGCAAAAAAAAAACCCCCTTGGCATGGTCCAATTTGCTCTAGCAGGAAAAAAAAACTTCCTGATCCCTTAAAGCAATTGGATATGCCTTGGATCAACAATATACAGTGTTATTATTTATAAAGTTGCCTTTGAAGAACAACAACTGAGTGAAAGAAAGTCAAGAGAGGGGAGATCTGTTTTAATATGGAGCCTAAACTTTTGTTTCCTGGTTCAGGCTAAGACATTCTTGGGAGGTGGTGTGATCACTCACAGAAACAAAGTTCTGCAAGGATGCCTGGTAGAACAGGGGACATACGAACACCATAAGAAGTGTTCCCAATGAGAGGTTTGTACCTCTCCAGGAAATGTTCTTTATTAACCCTTCCAGTGGGGCTATCCCTGCACTGCAAGGGTTAAGTGTTCCTAGGTGTCTAGGTTTAAAAAAAATAAAAAGGTTATACTTACCCAATGCTCCTAACTGGCTTCTTCTTAGACCGGTCCTTCCAATGTCTCTCCCCCTCCTCTGCAGCGGTCTAAGGTCCTTTAAATTATCAATATCTATACACAGTGTACAGGCAGTGAGGATGCTGAGGAAGATTACAATGCTGCAGGGAAGGGGAGACAGGCTCGAGGGAGCGCCGTGACAGCTGGCCGGCTTGGAGCTTCGGGTGAATATAACGTTGTTATTTTAGCACCTAGGCAAAAACGTGCTCTTAACCCAAATATGGGCGTTATTCTTTAAAATGATTCGTTTAGTGGTTACATTGATATTAAAGCCAAAAGGATTTTAAGCTATTTCAAACACTGATTAAATCACTTACAATGGATGCCGCTCCTTGATATATAAAAGTTTTACTTTTCTACAGAATCAGCTGGTCCCCTGAGCACTGGCCCTGATATCCTGTTTTAGGGTTGCTCCTTTTCCTTGCAGAATCCTATGGAGCAGCCCATGTGTGTACTAGTAAGGTGTGTGTTTCCACAAACAAACAGGCAAAGCAAGCCAAGACCCCCCCCCCTCCCCTCCCCCAGCTCCTCCTTCCTCCCTTGTCCATGCTATTAGATGGACAGCTGCTAGAGACTGCTGTGTCCCTTGTGAACTTGTGCTGGACATGTAGTTCAGGGATGCTGAGGTACCGGAGTGGAGTCAGCTGTGTGTAAACATGATGACTGTAAATGCTTGGGCAAAAATGTAAAAAGTAACTTTGCTGGGCAATGTATATTTGTTTGTTCTGGATTCATTGTTGAAAAAAAGTTTAAGAGTTCAATACTACTTTAATGTTTTTTCTTATTTAAAGATAGCACACATATTTAATTTGTTGTCCTTTCCAGGGCATCTGGCAGAAAAACAGAGACATTTACTGTGTCAGTGAATATAGCCGCACAAAGTAAAGTGACGTTTGAGTTGGTTTATGAAGAAATGCTTAAGCGTAATCATGGGAAATATGAAATGTTCATCAAAGTTCAACCAAAGACGCTTGTTCGGAACTTCCAGGTATTTTACAAACAATCCAATATAATTTTATTAGAAGTATGTACATTTTTAAACAGTGTTTTACCTTTTTTTTTAGTAGCAAGGTTCTTGTTGCCTCTGCGGAGATTCACCCTTTCTATATCTCTATATACTTAGTGGTGATGGGCTGAACACACCCGAGATCGGTTCTAACTCGAACTTTAAAACATGGAAAAAGTCTATAGCACCAGAACTCGGAAAATCAAAGGTCCCCATTTTGAACTCTTCTATGCAGGGCCGTCTTTAATACTGATTGGACCCTGGGCAAACAATTTCTTGCCCCCCCCCCCCCCCCCCAGGGTATGGGGATTCGGGTACTGACCTGGGGGATGTGCATCAATGCAAAAAAAACTTTTTAAAAAAATACCGTTTTTAAAGAAGCAGTGATTTCAACATTGCTTAAAGTGATACAATAAAAATGAAAAATTCCTTTAAATATCATGTCTGGGGGGTCCCCTTAACTGTCTGTGAAGTGGCGGATCTGTACAGTGTATAGAACCTGCTGCAGCAAAAAGTGACATTTATAAAGAAAACAATGATATTTAAATTGCCGGTAATTGGTTTTCCATTAATCTTGTAAACAACTGCTTGGGGAGGCAGTCTGTATGAATAGGACACACTCTAGGACACTCGGAACAAGATTTTTTGGGTAAATTCTGGTGCCCCTTTTGCAGACGTTGGATGAAAATAACAGCAGGTGCTGTCAAATTGGGCCTTTAGTGTTGGAGGTGCTTTCACACTGTAACCCTTCAGTTATTCTCGACAAGTGCAGGATACGACCCTGCTCTAAAAATTGAAATGATATATACCTGTCACACAGGTGTGGAAAAGAAGAGTCTTTGGTGTTGGTGCCTCCACACTGTATCCCATCACAGTTAAGTTGCCCATACACCTGACGATTATCGTACGATAATCGCGGGTGATCCCGCGATCGTACAATAATCATAACGTGTATGGGCAGCGCGTGATCGCAAGCACACACTGCCCGCTCACCATTGCAATCATCTGTAAGCCCTCCCTTGTGATGATTGCTTGTGATGATTGCAAGTACGATCTGCCTGTCCACGATGGGAAGGTTGTACGAACTTTTAATTACCTCACAACCATCGCACAACCAAAGTCGTGCGATGGTTGTAAGGTGTATGGCCACCTTTGCTCTTGATGAGCACAGGAATGGGCCCTGCTGTAAAAAAAGTCTAATTATATGCACCTGTTACATACCTGTCTCCTTGTTGGTCTTTCAGACATGATGTGGGGCTTATTATAAAATTTTATTAGAGAATGTGGGATGGGAAATTTGTGCTTGGGTGCAATACTTTATTGCATGTGGTGCTTGGTACACTATTAACCGCCCGTTGAGAAAAAACGGTTGGACGGCAGACTCACATAGGCGGGTTGCCGTCATGAGACAGCTTTTTTTTTTCTGCTTGCGTGCGCCCCCGGGCAGAAAAAACACGCCCGTTCTTTACAGCCATTACCGGCTGTTTGATATACATACGATCTGCGGCTCTATAGCCTGCCGATCGTATGTATGTGCTGTCTTTGCGCGCCTCCCCCTCCCCCTCCTGACCCCTCACCTTCAATCCCAGGATCCGCTAGCCCATCTGCGGCCCGGGAGCGGCTTGGGAGGGCGTTAGGAGGTAAGATGGGAGGGAGATCAGTATCTTCCTCCTTGCTGATCTCCCTCCGAGGTCTGAATGCAGAAGTGATGTGTATTACATCACTTCCGCATTCACCTGTCAGTCATTTGGCTGCTATAGCCAGAGAGAAGAAGATGATGAAGCAGATCTCTGCTTCATCAGCTTCTTTGGGGGTCCCCAGGTGACATTAGGGGTCTTAGAGACCCCTAATGTCTCCATAAAGAGGACCTGTCAGTGTACCTGTGCTATCACATAGAGAAATTGTTATCCCCCTACGTGATAGCAATAACAATAAGTGTAAAAAAACATTTTAAAAAAGTTTAAAAAAAAATAAAGTCAAAGGAGGCGGAGGCATCATGTAAGCTCTCATGGGCAAGGCCCTGCTTACCATTTTGTCTTGACTTGTATTAGTAATGTCCTCCTTATATTGTAAAGTGCTGTGCAAACTGATGGCACTATATAAATCCTGTATAATAATAATAATAATTATAATAATAATTTTCAGATTGAAGTAGAAATTCATGAACCTCAAGGCATCAGCTTTTTAGATGCTGAAGCAACTTTCATAACAAATGATTTGCTGCCGGCAGTCCATAAAAGCTTCTCTGCCGAAAAGGTAATTATATTTTTATTTATTTAAAGGTAAAATACACTGTAATTAATTTTGCTTCTTTTCATTACTAAAATTTAAAAACAATTGTTCTTTTTAACCTGGTAGATATGAAATCTTGCAAAGGTCATACTTTCCACTCACAAACAACCAGTGGGTAGCACCAAGAGAAACCCATTTAAAATACACCTGAATAGTGGGGAGGCCAGATTACACAGAGTGTTGAATGACTCAGTTGAAAAATGCAACTCGCTACTCTGCTAGTAGAAACTGGGTCATCTGGCAGAGTCAGTTATACACAGTCTGCCAATAATCAAGCAAGTGTTCCTTTATAGAAATATTATAGATGGTATATTTATTAAATATTTATTTTGAATATAAAACTTGTATATAATGAAAACAGCAGGAAAACAAGCAAACTTGACCATAAACTATTATCATTACTCATTCTTTAAGAAGAGTGCAAAGAAAGCGGTTTATGTATAACTACATCTGTCTTCACAGCTGTGAGCTATGCTATTTAATTTATATTATGCAAGGTGGAAAGTTTCACAAACAAATTACTGAAACCCTAAATAATTTTTTTTAAGTTAGTATATTATGGACTTGACTGTATTGACCATATAATGGCCTTTATTTTCAGGGCTATGTTTCTTTCAAACCAACTTTGGATCAGCAACGCTCATGTGCAACATGTTCAACTACATTACTGGATGGAGATTTTACTGTGACATATGATGTGAATCGAGAATCGGCAGGAAACATACAGGTAACATATATATGTTTCGGGCATATTTTCGCCAGGTCAAGTTGTCACTATTCGTCTTGGCCAGGGATGCACAGATATCAGTTTAGATACCAGTGACGATACTTGGCATTTTCACAAGAACTACCAGGGTTGCAGCGGTTGCAGCTGCGACTGGGCCCTGGCGCTCCACCACTGTCCTCAAATCATTAGTCTATATTATTTTAGAAAAACTGTCACATGAAAATAAACAAAAATGTATCAGTAATTGGTATCTGTGAGGCAAAGTATTTGTACTTGTACTTGGTTTGGAAAAATGGTATCGGGCATGCCATAATATCCGAAATAAAGCAGAATCCAAGCACATTAGTGGAATGGCCTCATATTCCTGGTACATATGGTCTTGAGGCATTAGTTCTTTAGACGTGATATTACAATTGTGTGTATGAAACCATGTTGACTCTATGCCAAGTGAACAGGCACTCATGTGTCCACTCCTTGCCTAGGGTGTTCTCGCCATGATGTGTGATAATTTACTTCATTGGGTAGTGTTTAGAGAGTTGCCTTCCTATTATAAAGTTTAGAGACAATTCCATCTTATGCAAAGTCTGAGTGGACGAAGTAAATGGCATGTGCCAACCATACTTCCAGCAATGATTGGCACATGCTCTATACTCTGGTGTATTTGCAGGAACTAATACTGTTTGGATTTTTTTTAGGTTGTCGATGGATATTTTGTTCACTTTTTTGCACCCCAGAAATTAGCTGGTGTACCAAAAAATGTAATCTATGTAATAGACAAAAGTGGATCGATGTATGGTAGAAAGTTGGAACAGGTAAGATATAGATAAACATTTTTATATTATTGTTAATAATTAACACCCTTTCCTCACTGCATCTTTGTCACTTTCTGACCTAAAGACATGAAAGATATGTAAAAGGAAATCTTTCCCAAATGAGGGGAAATACGCTCTTAGACAACTGTCTCCGAAACAGATATCCCCAATAGAAGGTTAACCTTATTTTCCTGGTTAAGTGACAATTGTAACATTTTTTATTTCCCATCACTTTCTGTCCCAGTGGCAATGGTCACAAAGACAAGTAGAGAGGGGTCACTTTCCTTGATGGAGACACAGACGACAGAAAGAACCTGATAGAGATTTCAAAACCTCTTCACTATCCCACACTGAAAAGAAAGATTATGGCTTCAGATATGCTTTAAGCACTCAAGATCTGGTATATGATGTTGAGACTCTTAACTACTAAGGCTGTCAATGTCACATCCTGCAATAACCAAAATAGCAAGGGTTTTAGTGGCGACCCCATATCCCGTGCAAAATGCGGATGCAATGGCATCCCACTTTACCAATCAAAGTGGACTTTTGAAAGTGGAAGCCCTTTTAATGATGGCATTCGGATAGAACCAAAGATTCTAATGCTTTCCAGCCTTAAAAGTCTGTATTTTTTTTTCCTTAAGTGATGTGGAATTTGCAGTGTTTAGTTCCAATTAGCAATCTAAAATGTAACTAAGGATGCAATTTTCTGTGTACATACTATCTGGCAGCTATATGGTTTGCAATACCAGCAGATACAATAGGATGGGAGTTTAAAAGGTTAGGAGTGTAAGCAGTGCGTAGTTCCCAAAGCACTGATCTCACTGTTATCTGAGAATCTCGCAATTCTCTGTAATCAAATTGTCCCAAGAAGCGCATTAGACAAGTCAAGCAGCACATGCATGACTCTAAAAGGACTAAAAGATTGCAAATGAGATTACCCTGTCCTTGATGAGAGGTGTTATTTAACAAGGGAACATCAGAATCATATGATAAAATGGAACTCCAGGCAAAGCATATTTCGGCAAATTAAGGAAGAATTAGGAAAGATTTACCTTCAGTTCTTTCCTGTTGACTGGTGCCACCAGGCAAGTAAGTGAGGCAAAACATCTCCAATAGTGATACAGAAAACAATAAAAATCTGGCTGGCTTTCTAACCCTTCACCTCTACATCCAAAATTGAAAAAAGGTTTGGCTGGAGTTCCTCTATATGTTAGTCATGTTCTAGCAACTTTTTGGGGGTCTGGAAAGCTCTGTGTATTAAAATTAGTAAACTGCAAGTAATGTGTTCCAAATCTTAATGTTGGTTTAAGAATGTGAAATTAAATTATATATACATATTGTAAATTATTTATATATTGTAATATATATATATATATATATATATTTATATATATACAGTATATAAATATGTATATAACATTAGTATAGATGTACATACAATCAGCTAACAATTTATATGCAAATGGTATATATATCTGTTTTAAATTTAAGTGCTTATGAAAACCTAAGAGCTCTAAAAAAATAATAATGATAATCCAGTACACTTAGCACATAGTACCATTCGCCACAATACACCGAACACTTCTCACCAGACACCACGATACAATTGTTTTTGCACAGGGGCCCTTTAATAACTTTTTCTGAAACTACCGCTCATCCCTCCAATTGTGAGTTAAAATTTAAGTTAATGATTACATTCATGCATTACTGTTGTATCCCTATTTAGACAAAAGAAGCCCTACTTGAAATTTTGAAAGACACAGCAGAACATGATCATTTTAATTTTGTATTATTTGACAATGATATTGAAGTGTGGAAACCTTCTTTGGTGAAAGCAACACCAGAAAACCTGAAAAAAGCCAGGGACTTTGTCAGACAAATTACAGATGGTTATAGTAAGTAAACACAACATATACAGGTGAAACTCGAATAATTAGAATATCGTGCAAAAGTAATGGCAGTAAGTGCTGCAAAAGGGGCCCAAACCAAGTACTGAGTACATATGCATGCTTGTACTTTTCAGAGGTCCGATATTGTTCTATGTACAATCCTTGTTTTATTGATTGCATGTAATAATCTACTTTTTTGAGGTTGTGGATTTGGGGTTCTTGGGGTTTTCATGAGCTGTAAGCCATAATCATCACAATTATGACAAATCACGGCTTGAATTATCTTGCTTTGCATGTAATGAGTCTATCTCATATATTAGTTTCACCTTTAAGTTGCATTAGTGAAATAAATGAACTTTGCACGATATTCTAATTATTCGAGTTTCACCTGTAAATGAATTTTATATAGGATGTAAATCAACTCTGTAATTCAAAACAATAAAGTTACATACTTACATAGTATTCGAGGTTGAATAAAGACACAGGCTCATCAAGTCCAACAATACAAAACACAAAAATTCCCCAGCCTCAACCTGCCAGCCAGCCTGCAACCAAACAAGTAGCCCTGTCAACAGTATGCGTTAAAATCAGAGGTTTTAGTTGCACAAACTTTTGGCCAAAAATATGTAGAAGCCTCACTGCCGCGCCAAGGCACCTCTGCAAAGTGTGGTCCTAACTCTATGTATCCGAGTCTCCAAGTGTGAGAGACAGGGCAATTTGTTTGGTTGCAGGCTGGCTGGCAGGTTGGGGCTGGGGAATTTTTGTGTTTTGTATTGTTGTAAGCCTTCCCAATGTGCGCCCTGCTATAAAGGCTGGTTATAGATTGACTCAAGTGGTTAAAGAGTCACACTGTCTGTGGGAGTGTTTGTATGTGTATGTGTGAAACACAGTGAAGTGTACATATGATATACCACTATTTACACATATTTTTTTGCAGCCACAAATATCAATGATCCTGTGTTAAAGGCTGTGCAATTATTGGATGAAGCGAATGCACTAAATCAAATCCCAGAAAGAAGTGTCTCTTTGATAGTCTTGCTTACTGATGGTGAAGCAAATATAGGTAAGTAAAATATTTTGTACAATGTGTGCCTCAACTGTGGTTTTGCAGATGTTTTCGTTATAAATATATTTATTAAGTTTTTTACCTCACAAAAGTATACAAATCCGACATTTTACATAGCTTACTAAACAATTAACATTAAAACACAAAGTAACATAATCACATAAATACCAACATTAAGACAAAAACATATCATAATGTTAATTTAATTTCTTCTAACCTCCTTGTTTTTCCCACTAATCGTAGCCTGGTCTGTATCCGTATAGTGCTAACTTTTCTATTTTCTTCTTAATGTGATTTATATATTACTGTTTACTTTTATAATTAACTTCTCTTCCTTCAATTCTTTACAAATCAGTGGATTAGTGTCTATCGTTACTCACTGCATTGTGAACCCAATCTTCTGTGCATCTCAAGTATTGTAACCAAGCGTATAAATAAAAAAAAAAAAAAATTATCTTATGCTGATCAAAATGTGATAAGGTGTATCTTTCTACTATAGATTAAGTTCAATGGTTTAGTGTCATGGGTTAATCATTACTTTATGAAGTTAATATTTTGTGCATCTCCCACCCTATATCATATTACAAAACGAACATCCCTTAACACTCAAAGTGAGATGATATGTATCTATATATAAGTTATTATTAAGTGTATCCTATTATATCCTTAATTCTTATCAAAAATAACCCCAAGCCTCAAAGGATAAACCGTATAAATAGTGCTACTTGATACTTTCTACCCTTTATCCTCCCTCCACCGCCCCCAACCCCCTCCCCTCACGTGTGTGCCGTTCTTTTGGGTTATACCCGTTTGTACAATAAACTATTCCAGGCTAAATAAAGAGTAGGGGAACAAAAGAGGTTGTTTTCTTTTAGCTCTAAAATACAAAAATAAACATACTGAAGCATCCTATTCTAAGCCTTTCTTGTTCTCATATTTTTCTCTAATTGAGTTATGGAATCGTCCCATAGGGCACAGGGGAGTCAGTAATTTATTTATTTAGTTATATGAGGACATCGCTAATAAATACTCCTCTGATTTCTTATACTTGAACCATCCCTTCCAAATTTCGCAGAACATTGTATACTTATTTTGGCTTCTCAGAAACAGTTCCTCCATAAAACATATGTGATTTATTTTTATAAACCATTCCTTTATTGGAGGGGATTCTATACGTCTCCAATAAATTGGTATCAGACATTTTGCTGAATTCAACAGGTAGGGTATAATAGACTTTTTGTACCCTAGCAGTGACCCTTCACTGTTATGAAATAGGATTACCCAGGGGTCCATACTCAGGGTTGTTCCCTGTATGGAGGAGATGATCCTGCCAACCTCTTCCCAGTACTTATTAATAATGGGGCAGTGCCACCATATGTGTGCCATTGTTGCCCTCCTTCCACAGCCTCTCCAGCATATGGTGAGTTGTTAGAGTCTATAGAGTGGAGTCTTACTGGTGTGAGGTACCATCTCGACAAGAGTTTATAGTTCATCTCCTCCATACAGGATGATATTGAAGTCCTACACACCCGTTGCAAAACTCTTAATTTCCCTTGTTCTGATATGGGGGTTCCCAGGTCTTCTTCCCATTGTGACAAAAACCCGGTGTTCTGTACGGTATCCAATTGAGACAACAGTTTCGCCAACAGTGATATACTTCCCCTTGGGCATGATGTCCCTGATAGTATCACTTCTATTGGATTTAACTGATCCATTGTTCTGATTGGTTTAGGTAATATTTGCAAAAAGTGGGTTAATTGCAGGTAGTGCACCCTCATCTGTCCATTTACCAAAATTTTTATCTAACTTTCCTGGTTGGAAATAGTCGTGACCTAACAGTGGCATTAAAGGTGAGTTATAACTCCATCCGGCTTTTTTGTGCATTAGGTCCCATACCGCTAGGGTGTTTACTACTAAGTGGTGCCACCCCTTCGTTGAACCTCTGTGTTCTTTCGGTAACCAACTGATTATACACAGGTCTACTTTACATATTTCAGACTCAACATCAACCCAGAGTTTAGTTGTCTTATCATAGTGCCAGTTCAGTAGTCTGGTCAGCACTGCCGCTTGATAGTGGCATTTAAAATCAGGCAATGCTAATCCACCTTGTGATCTAGGTCTCTCTAGAGTCTTATATGATATTCTCGCTTTCTTCCTTCCCCACACGTATTTAGATACCATTGTTTTTAAAGTTTAAACATTTTTTTTAGACAAGGCAATGGGGACCATCTGGTATAAGAATAAACATTTCGGCAGGACATTCATCTTGACTACACTTATTCTTCCAATCCACGAATGGTATAGTGCAGACCATTGTTGGAGGTCCTTCCTAACATCATTCAGAAGTGGAATATAATTATAGTCAAAAAGCTCCTGCTGGTGTGGAGTTAGGTTAATCCCCAGATATTTCAATTTCTTAGTCTGCCACCTAAAAGGGAAACTTGAACGCAGCATAGATACCTCCCTATGAGGTAGGCCGATGTTTAATATCTCCGATTTATCCAAATTGATCTTAAAATTAGATAACCCTCCATATTCCCGGAATGCTTTTAATAAGTTTGGGATAGATATTACAGGTTGTTGAATATAAAGTAATATATCATCGGCGTATGCTGAGTATTTATGTTTATTCTTTCCTATAAACTACACCATGGATATCATTATTTTCTCTTATATTTGCTAAGAATGGTTCCAATGTTATTGCAAATAATAAAGGGGATAGTGGACAACCTTGTTGTGTGCCATTTCTCAGTGTGAATTCTTTACTGAGGGTACTGTTGACTCTTACTTGTGCCCTTGGTTCCTTATAAAGGGCCGATATCCAGCTCATCATTTTACTACCCATGCCCATATGTTGTAATGTGAGTAATAGGAAGTCCCAGGCTACCCTATCAAACGCTTTCTCTGCATCTGTTGATAGTAATAATGTTGGCTGGGATCTTTGTTTTACATAGGTCATTACTGCTAGTGTTCTAAGTGAGTTATCTCTAGCTTCTCTACCAGGAATAAATCCCGTTTGGTCAGGCGAGATGAATTGAGGTATCAAAGGTGAGAGTCTCCTTGCCGATACTTTTGCAAATAATTTAATATCCATATTTAATAATGATATTGGTCGGTAACTCCCACAACTCGTTGGGTCTTCATCCGGTTTGGGGATTACTGTTATATGTGCTAAAGTAGATTCCGGTCTGAGCTTACCAGTTCCTGTTAATGAGTTTACATAGTTAGCCAGCTGGGGGAGTAGTATATTTTTAAAGGTTACATAATAAACCACTGTTAGGCCATCAGGGCCTTGTGCTTTTCCTCTAGCCATTTCGGCAAGACTACTTTCTAATTCCCCCACCTCTATCTCCCTTCCAAGTTTTTTCAGAGAATCCTCTGTTAAGGGCGGTAGTTTGCCCCTAGTCAGATATTCTCTTATTACTTCCTCTCTCTGGTCCGTTGTTTTTTGTGTCGATCTTTCTGAAACATTATATAATGTGGAATAAAATTCTTTAAATTCCTCAGCGATATCTCTAGGGGTAAAAGCCATGGAGTCTATTGTTTTAATTTTGGGGATATAAGTCTGCGTCTTCATATGGTTTAAAGATCTAGATAGTTCTTTTCCTGGTTTATTACCCCATCTATATTGTATACCCGCCATCCAGTGGAACTTCTGTGAGGTTTCAATATTTAATAAGTTTTTTAACTCTTCCCTTTTATTAATTAGTTGTTCTAAGTGGTCCGAAAAAAGTGATTTTTTTGTGTAATATTTCTAATTCCCCAATCTGTGTTAGAAGGTCTTCTATGTTTTTCCTATTCTCTTTTTTCTGCAGATGTTTTCAATTAAAAGCAGGTAAACCTGCTTTTACCAAAAGGCCTAGACAAAGCATCGACTTTTGTCTTTCACTGAGGACCAAAGTTAATAGTGTTATAAAATGCTATCAATTTTAATAATGTTATAAATTATAATTCTGTAAACTTCATTATACTTCTGGGTCATCATATTTCTCTAAGGAAACCTGTAGTGAGAAAATGGAGAACGCTGTGTGCAGGACTAGGTGTGGCCACCTACTAACTGATAAGCTCCAGGCTTGTGAATTGTTATCCCAGAATGTTTTAGAAAATAGACTTTAGTTATGTGTTTAAGGGAACTTAGCTATCATGAGGATAGTACAGACATAATGAATGGGCAACATATAGAAAGATACAGGCAAATAAAAAAAATATCAAAAATAAAATTTGATTGTTATCTGAGAGACAATAGCCACAAATATTGTTAAGTGGCTGGACAGTATGTAAGCAGCTTGGTAAGGCTGCAATTTAACCCTTTCACTTTCAGGACCTTTTTTTAAAAAACCTTTTTTGCACACATTTTAGGTCTGAAAATTACTTAAAAGCCCCAAACATGTAATATATTTTCTGAAAGCAAATACCCTGTAGAATAAAATGATGGCAGTTGCAAATTTTTATGTCGTACGGTATTTGTGCAACTCTTTATTGAACCCAAACATTTAGTAAAAAATGCACTTAAATTAATTATTGTGCTCAAAAAAACAATATAATTTTTTAACTATAAAATGGGAAGTTATGATGCCTAAATAGATACCCAACATGCCCAGCTTACAAATTGTGCGACAAAAAACGGTACCACAAATTGTCCATAGGCAATGCTTTGAAAGCCACTACTAGTCATTATCTTGGAGATATCCAAGAATATTGGCCGTAGAATTATTGATCTCCCTATGGTCTGGCAGCTCCTAAATTATGATGTGCCATGAAGATTGCTGTATTCTTTGGTATGTGTGTTCTTGTCTTGATGAGACATAGCTATTAGTACCATTCATTTTACAATATCTCTCTCCAATTCCTAGTTATGAAATTGAGTTGATATCGTAACTCAGTTTTATGATGTTAGGGTGAATGCTGGGTCACCTGGGTCATTAAATCTACCAGGCCCTGTGTGTTTATCTAAAACCTAACAATCCGTGTACCCATTGCACTCCTTACCGCTTAATCCATAATGATAGGTTGGGTGCATCAGTAGTCAACGGATGGCCACCATCTGAATAAAGTATAGGAAATTATGGACACCGGCACTCCAAAGTAGAATAACGTCTTTTATTGACGTTCCATGCAACAATACACTAATTGCAACGTTTCGGGGTCACACAGGATCCGCTTCATTAGGCAGAACAACTTGTTCTGCCTGCCTGATCCCCTTCATCAGGCAGAGCAGCTGGAGCAACAAAAAAACTACACTATAATCACACCCAAATCCAGCATTCTGAGCCCCACTTTGTTCAAGCTGTTGTGCTCCAACCCCTCCCTTGTATAATTTAGTGGAAATGTCCTGGCCTGGGTTGACCCACAGTGGCAAATTCCCATCTGCAATTTCAAATTTTTTTCCTTTTGTTTGTTTTCATATGTATATATATGTATATATATATATATATACACTTTTTTTTGTATTAATGAGGTGGTTGAGCTGCACATAGCAGAGGTCAGGCATGTCTGCAATTCTGCTTTGTCAGAATAATCTTCCCCCTCCCAGGCACTCAGTTGCCACTTTTATTTCTATATTTTTTATTTCATTATAGTTAGGTCACTGGAAGCATAGTTTTAGTGGAAAAAAGTATGGCCATAGGCTGCCCACAATTCCATAACAGGGGAAAGACCTAGCAAAAGAAAATGTAGGGGAAAAATTCACAACTAGGGGGAAGCAGGCAGCAACAAAAAGTAAATGTAGAATCCTACAGCCATAGGCTGCCTGCCCTTTCCCAAAAACTGTCTAAAAAAAGAAATTACATGGCGCCTAAAAGGAGAGGTAGAGGTGTTGCCACATAGTGGCAGCAAAGCATTGTTAATGTGAGCTCTTCTTCCTCCTCCTCCCTTATTTTCTACCTCCTCCACCTACTCCTCTGCTACAGGCAGGCTTACCGTAAAGAAGTATACATTAAAATACTACAAGGTAAGTGAAGTCTCTGTGACCGGAGAGCTGCGGCTGAGCAGAGCTAGAATCAGGCTTGCAGAGCAGTAGCCAGAAATAGCTGTCATGTGGATAAAAATGTGGATGAAGGAGGTAATAGATGCTGGCAATGTGTTTACAGGCTTGTAGCCTCTTTGTCAAGCCGGGAAAGGACCTTTTCCTGGCTTGACAAAGAGGTTACTTTCAGCACACAGTATTTCCACGCTGGTGTTACAAGTATCTTTGTAAGCGCAACATAGTTTATTTATGCTTTTCCCATGTTACAAAATTTACTACACTAGGTTGTGGGGCTCCCTCTTTCTTCTCTTTTTTTAAAGCCATGGATTACCTGCAAAATGAAGGATGTTTTTGCACAAATGGTTGAAGGTGTATGGCAGATTACTGCAGGTTGTAGATTAGGGACAACGGTATAGTTTTAATGAATGCCGAGCTGCATTATTTGTGTGTTATATATTTGTCTGGAGGCTTAAATTTTCTACAAAAATAATACGTTTACAATTAAAGTTTTAAGCTGTAAATTAACATTAATAAAAATTGCCTTTTGTTCTGAATCTTTAATTTTCGAAAAGCAACCGACAAATTCCACTTCCTTCTAGCATGGCAATCCGGGGGCGTTCTGAACACTGCTTGTGTACAGAGCACCCTCAGCATTTCTACCTAACAGAAGGAATAATTTAGAATGTATTCAGTGTTTATAACATGTCCAAGGTTTTTCTTTGCAAGTAAAGTTATGCTTTAAAAGGAAATTTAAATGGTTTAAAGCCATTTTCATATATTTTTTTATTAGCTAGCTTTTAAGCGATATATTATATAATTTCTTACCATGCACTATAAGTAAAATTATTCTACAAATAAACATTTAAAGCACTGGTATGACTATTGTTTTTCTTCTACAAGGTGAGACAGAACCAGAAAAAATTCAGGAAAATGTAAAGAAAGCCAACCAAAGAGGATACACTTTGTATTGTCTTGGCTTTGGCTATGGGGTTAATTATGGATTTCTCGAAAAGATGGCACTGGAAAATGCCGGAATTGCTCGTCGAATATATGAGGACTCAGACGCAGCCTTGCAGATGAAGGTTAGCTTTTAATGTATATCAGTTCAACTCACTACTAGAGATGAGCAAATGTGCTTGGTTGTGGTTCGAGGTCTTTTAATCGAACCAATGGTAAAGTTAGAAAATTGTGAACTCAAATTTCAGTGGGGTCTTGATTTATTGGGAGCAAATCTTGAAAATTAGTTTTGGACAGCTTTTGTTCTTTCAAGGCTTATAGGCAAGGGAGCTTAATAAAGAAAAACAGGAAATAATAATTAACACATACAACAGAGTTGTAAAGCAGAACAATGAAGAGGTTTGTCTAATTGAAGCCATCAGATAAAAAGTGTGCATGCAGTATTAAATTGAAAAAATAAATCACAAAAAATTCAGACAATAATTAGATTAAGAAATAATTAGAGTGTATTATTCAAAAACAACTGCAGAAAATATTGTGCAGTCAATGCACGGTACATAAGCAGATTTATTAGGCCACATTTTAGGAAGGTGAGACGAAGCAGGTTTGGGAGGAAAAGACCACACAGGTTTTACAGAACTAAACATTACATTGTATTCTCTCACAAATAATTGCTAAAAAGTTTGTGCAGTGGATGAGCAGTACATAAGCAGCTTTATAGGGCTGCAATTTAAAAGGGAAAGACCAGGCATGTTTTATAATAACAAAAAAATAACAGTGTAATATTTCAGAGGCAATAACCATTAAGATGGTATAAATGTATGCACAGTGTGTATGCAGCTTTTACTAGGTTGTAGTTTCCCAAGGAAACCAACATGCAAGTTTATAATAAAATAAAGAGATCAAAATTAGAGTTTTTTCCACAGAAAAAAGTTAGAATATTGTACTAACTCCATGCACTGTATTAACCCCTTCAAGACCAGGTGTTTAGACCCTCTTCCTGGCCAGGCCATTTTTCAGTATTCAGCGCTGCGGTACTTTGACTGATATTTATTCCGTCATGCAACGCTGTACTGAAATTTATTTTATACCATTTTTTGGTGACAGATAGAGCTTTCTTTTGGTGGTATTTAAACACCACTGGGGTTTTTATTTTTTACTATAATTAGGAAAAATGACAGAATTTTTTTTTAAAAGTTTTTTTACATTATGTTAGGAAACATTTATTATTACCCAGTTTTTTGGTAAAATATAAAAGTCGTGGTCACGTCGGGTAAATAGACACCAAACATGTCAAGCTTTAAAATTGCGCGCACCCGCGAAATCGCAGAAAACTACCATACTTAAAATTGGCCATAAGGCGATGCTTTAAAAGCTTTTACCGCTCATCAGTTTAGTGTTATCAGTGATTGATGGCGCTAGACTTATTGGTCTCACTCCGATGTTCGTGGCGATATGTAACATGTGCGGTGTAATGGGCACAATCGCCTTTTTACACGTATGCGCCCCCGACGCATGTTTGCATGCGTGTATGTATGGGTGGGGACTTTAAAAACATTTTTTGTTTTTTTATTCTTTTTTATGTGTAACTTCAAAAAAATTTGGGGGGGGAACTTACATTTCCCCCCCTTTTTTTCCACTAAACTTTATTGCTATCACATACGGGGGCTAATTAAACTCCCCTATGTGATAGCAAAACATGTGGCAGGTCCTCTTTATGGAGACATCAGGGGTCTCCAAGAACTCTTGAACAGGAGAGACACCACCCAGCTTTTAATTAAAAAAACAACATTTGAGTGTATATATTTTACTGAAAATAGTCCCCAAAATATTGTAGTGACTATGCAAAGTCTTTAATCACTTTTACTAGGCTCCATTTTGAAGAAGACGGACATTAGCAAGCTAATTTAAAAAAAACTAAAAAAAACATTAGAGTATATTTATTTATTTCACTAGAAAAATTTTGCATTGACTACATGCACAGAGTTCACTTTCACTAGGCCGCATTTTAAAAAGGACCCACACCAGTCGGCTTTTAACCAGGAAAAAACACAAAATAATGTAATGGGCTGCATTTTGCAAAAAAGAGACACCGAGCAGATTTTAATGAAGAGATCAACACTAGTATTTATTTGACTAAAAAAATCTCCCAAAATATTGTAATCATTCTGTGCACAGTATTTAAGCACTTCTACTAAAAACTAAACCCCAACCTCACCCCCTTTTTTTTTAACCTTCCTGAATGTAAAAACAAATATAGAAACGTGAAAAAAAGGGGGGGGTTAACGGCTAAACGTGAAGTTGTTGCTAACACACACAAAAAGTTTCTCCCTGCAAATACTCTGTGATCGGTCCCTAATCGGCTACGGTACTGTCTGACACTTGGTGTGTCTGTGGCTTCTTATAAACATTGACATTTTCAACAATCACCAGCAGCACCTATGCCTCCATGAAAACACTCTGTGATCTGTTCCTTACTACTCCAAGTTGTCCCCCAAAACACACTGAACTGAAAAGCTGCTGGGAACCCTAACATTCATATGGAAGGACTGGCAGATGAGAAAATACCCATGATTGACCCTTCTTAGTCACCTGACCACAGGAAGTGCATTTTTGGTGATTGATTCTGAACATGAACGGCAGCATTAGTCTGCCATTTTCCTGAATCGAAAATTACTTGGGTTCAGGTCGAACCTGAAGCTCATTCCTACCCACTTGACATTTTCTCAAATGCCTTTTACATTGAATATCTAATTGATATTGAATAAAAATATATAAATTGAAACCAATATATCTTTATTCCATTGTGTAAAGTGCTGGATTACTTCCTCGCATCCCCACCCCCTAAGAGTGCACAATTAGAAACATCTTCCATTGGACAATGCAAACTATAAAAGACAACAACTTGATCGCAATGGGTTATACTGTAGGTATTCTCTCTAAAATGCTTCTTCTTCTAATTGACCCGATATTCTTTTCTTGTATCTCAGGGATTTTATACTGAAATTGCCAACCCAACATTGTTGGATATTAAAATGGAATATCCTGAAAATGCCATTGCAAACCTCACCCAGAACAGCTTCAAACATTACTTTGATGGCAGTGAAATTGTGGTTGCTGGACGAATAATTGATAATGATCTGAATGTTTTCTCTGTAGATGTAAAGGCAGAAGGGGTATGTATAAATACTGTCCTGTTAAATGTGCTATCTAAGAAAACATATTGTTTTTGACTGAGTCAATCCATACTATGAAAAGGATCTGCATTCCAGCACACGCTTTACTCCCTGCTATTGATATCACCAAAAGATTTGCACTTTATCGCACACTGCCCACCCCCTAGTAAACCTACAACCAATGAGGTCTGCACTACAGCACATGTACCACACTTGCCAGTATCCATGCCACCAGTAAGATTTGTGACCCAGAGCACACACACCTTACTCACAAGTATCCATATCCACATTAGGATCTGCAACCCACACACAGTTTACTACCCAGTATTCCCCAGCTAAACCAGCAGAGCATGTCACGGGACTGTGTGTTGTTAGGAATGCAGTCATCTGGGGTCCCGTGGACTTCCAACTCAACAAATTCCATCGGTCCCTGACCCAGCAGGAATCGATTGGTGGTCAGTGGAAATATTTGTGCCCTATTGTTGGTGTCAGTGGGAGGAATAATGCCCCATTCTTGGTGTCTGCAGGGCCGATATTTCCTCACCCTGGCAGTCAATAAGAAGAATAGTGTCCCATCTTCGGAGTCAGTGGGAGAAATAGTGCCCCATCCTTGGTGTCTGTGGGACCAATATTTCCCCTCCCTTGAAGTCAGTAAGAAGAATAGTGTCCCATCTTTGGAGTCAGTGGAGGAATAGAGTCCCATCGTCAGTGGGGTTAGAAAAGCCCCCCAGCAATGTTGTTCACTTATCTTTGAATATGCTAAATATCCTGCACTGCTCCCTAGTGGCCAGATGACATGAACTATACAGGACACATCAGGCAGGAGATCATACTGGCCAATAGTGCCATATAAATTGCTGGGTGCTAGAAAGGTGCTGTAGTTTGAGGACTACCTCAGACAGACAGAGAAGTGTGTTTTACTCAGTAAACTGTCATGCCTTGAAGTTTGTATTGTAAACATTAAAATAGCATTGTTAAAGATTCTTTTGAAAGTTTTATGATGTGCTTCCTGAGTATACTAGATTTATATAGATATTGAGTTATGTCTATGTTACTTAAACAGGCAGATAATTTACTGAAATACAGTGAAAATGTTCAACTCCAAGATACGGATGGAGTGAGCAAAAAGCAGGAGTACATATTTGGTGACTTCACTGAGCGGCTTTGGGCCTACCTCACCATACAGCAACTCCTGGAGAAACGGTATGTTTGTATATAATATTATTAGCATCCTAATAAGAAATTTACCTGGCTACAATTATTTGAATATTTTTTCCATCAAGAGATTCCAAAACAATTTGTAAAGCTGCCTTAGAAGATTTCAGAAAACAGTTAAAGCCTATCTCTGAGAATAAAATCTACCCTTGCAGTGCAGCTAATCCAGCACTGCAAGCATAAACTGCTTGTTTATGTCTAGGGGTCTTGTGTAAATGTCTTCTACTTACCTGATCCCTGCTCCCCGCTCCACAGGTGATTGGCACTCATCTCTCTCCCCTCTGCTCTGGCTTATGGACTTTCCCTGTGTGTCTTCATGTATTGTGCTATGGGCTCTACATTAGACGTGATTACATCAGTGGACCTCCAATGTCGGAATGGAGGGGGGAAAAGATTCTGGGCACCATTCGTGGAGCCTGTGGGAGCGCAGATCAGGGAAGAAAAAAGGTTTACATAATACACCTAGACAAAATCAAGTAGTAATCCTTACAGTGTGGGGTAGCCTACTTGCAAGGGTAGTCTTTCTTTTTTTCCCCTGGAGATGGGCTTTAAATGATACCTTTTATGGTATAATTGACAACTTTTGTTTGCAAGCTCAGGAATGCTCTAAGATTCAAAATGTTGTTACTGAGTACCTTGCCTGCTTGGCAAAGGAAGCTAAGCACTAAGTCACAGTTTATATATGCAGTAGCAGTGGTGTAATGGTTAATGGATCACACTATTACAGAGAGATACCGCAACAACCACGTGCAGCGGAATAACTCACATTGAACCTGTATGCCTATTGAGCTCTCAAAGTGTTAGAGGTTTGTTGAAAAGCTCTTTTAACACATTTTAAGATTTAACAATATTCTCAGGGAAAAATAAAGTTCATGGAAAGCCTATCTATACAACTAACTAACTTTTAAATCTGAGGGCTGTTTGAAAAACTGATCCCTTTTGAGAAATGCTGTAAGATTATTTTTTTTAATTCTTTATTGACTGAATCAAGATAACAGAGGGCAAAAGATAAACTTGTCACCTAAATGCAATTGCCATACGAGATAAGGTAGATACAAACAGAAGTACAATGGTATAATATTACCTTCTCAGGTAAGCACAAAATACACTTTAAAAATTAAGCATAGTAACATTGCTAAAGAGAGATGTGGTAAACTCCAACGGTAAACGGAACCAGTGCAAGAAATAGTGGCCAGCAGTTAGTTGTGCTGGGAAAGTATAATAGGACACATGGGGACATCCCCCCAGTCAAGACTGAGAATGAAATTGAGAGCATTGGGAGGAATTTCTGTAATATATCCAGGGACCCCATGTGGAGTTACATTTCCCTTCTGTATTATTCAGCGAGGCCGTGAGATCCTCCATAGTAAAAATGTCTTGGACTTTAGAAAACCATAGCTGAACGGAGGGAGGTTGAAATTCTCTCCTCATCAAGGGTATGCACGCTCTGGCAGCGTTCAGCAAATTATATGTGAGGGAATGGCGATATTTAGAGCTTGGTTTAGTTGTAAGGTGTAACAGACAAGCAGCAGGTTTGTCTCTGAGGTTCATCATGGTCAAATTTTCAATAATTCCAAGAACCTGATCCCAAAAGGATCACAAGCGTGGACAAGACCAAAATATGTGTGTCATCATACCTACGGCCGAACCACATCACCAGCAAAGGTTAGGGACGGAGGCAATGATTTTGTGCAGCAACCAGGGAACCCTGTACCATTGTATTACAATTTTATAAGCCAGCTCTTCATACCTGCTGGCGAAGACTTAAAGGTTTGACATAGTTGTTACTGAGTGCCTAGCTTGCTGGGAAAGGAGGCTTAGTGGTAAGTAATATTTGATATTGCTGGTAGCAGTGGTGTAATGGGTAATGGATCATGCTATTACAGAAAGAAGTTAACTTACCACAACAAGCACATGCGGCAGAGTAACTCACTATAAACATGTATGCCTATTGAGATTTCAAAGTGTTAGAGGTTTGCTAAAAAGATCTTTACCACTTCACAAATCTTTATTGAATATTTTAAGATTTAACACTATTCTTCAGCATAATTAAAGTTCTTGAAAAGACTAGTTATATACCTCACTTTACTCTTTAGCTACCATGGGAGATCTTTGGGCTGTTTGAACAACTGACCCCTTAGCTTTAATTTGTTATGTCGAGAACCAATAAACTAGTTCTATTCCATTTTTAGGACATATGTGTCAGGATGCCGGGGGCGTCACCTCCCCACGGGGTCAGAGGGTACAGCGTAGGGTGCAGGCCTCCCTTCGGCCTGGCAGAACCACGGGTGCTCCAACGGCCACTGCGCATGCGTCTGTTTAGGCCTCAGGTGCCGGGGGAGGTTCCCCAGCCTCTCGTCTGCCATTGGCTCCCGGGGAGGGAAGCCTCCTGGTTGCCTCGGTGACCAGGGGGTGGACTCACACCCCCTAGCTATAAAAACCTGGCCAGAGCCCTGGCTTATTGCTGAGTTATTTCACCTCATGGTGTGACATACGAAGCTCCCCTCCTATGTGCCTTGCTGCCAGTTTCCTGAACCCTCTGCTGACTTCCCTTGTACTGACCTTGGACCGACTATCGCCTCTGACCCTTTGCTGCCTGCCGCGACCTCAGATTTCACTTGACTACCCCTTTGGATTGCCCCTTGTTACCTTGCCTTCGGACTTTTCAGGCTGCTTCCTGCCAGCGGGTTCCCTCCGTGCTGCTTGCCCGCGGACGCACCTGACAATATGACAGCATCTCTCCTAGCAGCTAGTCCATTCTAGTGCAACTTACTATGGATCATGGTTTTTAAAAGCGATTGGGTGGTAAAACTGATAGGCCAAAACAGACATCACCTGTATAGGGCAGTGAAATACAATTCTTTTTGCAGGAAAACCTGATTGCATTTCTTATTAAAATATAAACTAGTATTATATAAATGATTCAGCCACAATTCCAAAAAAGTTTGGACGCGGTGTAAAATCGACATAAAAACAGCAGCAATACGACTCAAAAAAGTTGGTGTAAGGCAACAGAAAGCTGGCAAAGTAAGTGGTGCTAACAAGGAAGAGATGGAAGAACATTTTGCAGCTAATTAGGTTAATTAGCAATAGGCCAGTAACATGATTGGGTATAAAAAGAGCATCTTAGAGAGTCAGATTGTCTCAGGAGTAAAGATGGGCAGAGGTTCACCAATCTGTGAAAAGCTGCATCTAAATATTGTCGAACAATTTCAGAATAATGTTGCTCAACATAAAATTGCAAAGACTTGAAATACCGTATTTTTCGCTCCATAAGACGCACTTTCCCCCTCCCCCAAAAAGAGGGGGAAAATGTGCCTGCGTCTTATGGAGCGAATCCCGACGCCCGAGACATGCAGTTTCGGGCGCCGGGCGAGTAGTAGGAGACACTGCTCGGCTTTAATACGAGTGATCTAATGAGATCACTCGTATTAAAGCCGAGCAGCGGCGGCGGCGATCGAGTTCAGCAGTAGGAGCCAATGCTCGTTTAATACGAGTGATCTAATGAGATCACTCGTATTAAAACCGAGCAGCGGCGACGATCGAGATTACCATAGAGTAGACGAAGAACGGAGGTAATCACAGCGCCACCTGTCTCAGCGGTCACTAACTGCAGCTTCTGTCACAGCTTCTGTCATAGAAGCTGTGACAGAAGCTACAGTCTGTCGAGTGCTCCATAAGGCGCGCCGGACCTCCCTGCGTCCTATGGTCCGGTGCGTCTTATGGACCGCAAAACACGGTATATCATCATCTACTGTACATAATATCAAAATCTGGAGAAATCTCTGTGCGCAAGGGATAAAGCCAAAACAAAATATTGAATTCTGGTGATCTTCGGGCCCTCAGACGTCACTACATTATAAACAGGCATGATTCTGTGATAGACATTTCTGCATGGGCTCAGGAATACTTCCAAAATCACTGTCTGTGAACACAGTTCGCTGTGCCATCCAAAAATGCTAAAAGTTAAAGCTCTATCATGTAAAAAAGAATATCAAAAATTAGAAAAGTTGGGGTCTTTTGGGCAGCCGACTGACAACTTACAAACCAAACATTTGTTTAGAAAATATAATTTTATTTGATTAAAAAGTGAATAGAATTAATAAAATTGACAACATGATTCCCCTATAAGCTCACTCCACACTAATTAAGTTCATTCATATAAGGATGACATTCAGAGACTTATACAATGAAGCATGATTGACATAATAATTAAAATATTCATTGACACAATACGTGATTGGTATAAGGAAAGGTGATGGAGGAGCTTGATTTTCTCGACGTTTCGCGCTGAGTAGCGCTTCTTCAGGAGATGGAGAGGGAGGTTGTCTATGCAATTTAAGAAAGATATATATAGAAAATATAAACATCATTGAACTTCTAACACAGCCACTTGAACTTGTCTAGTGGTATGGTAAACAGGTGGATATATGTATGTAAATATATCACCTATCCTTGGAGTCTGTGTGCGTCCCAATCGTTCCACCCGGCTCAGACGGTGAGAGAGTAAAAGCATGAGGTGACTCCCCGGCGACTCGCATAGGGGGCGTTTCCTGTTTTGGACCAGATGACGACGCAATGACGTCACCAGGGGAGCGCCGTTATTAGCACCCACGCGAGCCCCCAGCGTCAATGTACAGCCTGAGAGGGCTGTATTAGCTGCTGGGGGCTCGATATCGAGAGAGGAACGGCTACCTCACGTCGCTGACCGACAATCTTTTGAATCCACTTCCAATCCTCTGCGAGCAGTGGTATGTACTTATTTCAATCACTATGTCCAGCAAGGACGATATGGTACAGCGGGTGGTTCCCACTGATACTCAGATTAGTTTTATGATTCCTTTTGAGGCCCCAAATGGTATCCTCTAATTTTTGTTCTGCTTTTTAAACAAGGTACCTCCGTCATCTCTTGATTGGGTCTGCCTCCACTGGGGTTGAGGGCCCATTGCATAGACAACCTCCCTCTCCATCTCCTGAAGAAGCGCTATTTCAGCGCGAAACATCCAGAAAATCAAGCTCCTCCATCACCTTTCCTTATACCAATCACGTATTGTGTCAATGAATATTTTAATTATTATGTCAATCATGCTTCATTGCATAAGTCTCTGAATGTCATCCTTATATGAATGAACTTAATTAGTGTGGAGTGAGCTCATAGGGGAATCATGTTGTCAATTTTATTAATTCTATTCACTTTTTAATCAAATAAAATTATATTTTCTAAACAAATGTTTGGTTTGTATGTTGTCAGTCGGCTGCCCAAAAGACCCCAACTTTTCTAATTTTTGATATACCATTTTCAGCGGTGTGGCATCCTGTGCCTTGATTTAGGTCACTCCATTTCAAATCATGTAAAAAAGAAGCCATGTGTGAACATGATACAGAAACACCACTGTCTTCTCTGGGCCAAAGCTCATTTAAAATGTTCGGTGGTCACACAAATCAAAATTTGATATTTTTTCTGGCAACCATGGGTACAGCCTCCATTGGACTAAAAAGGAGAGGGACCTTCTGGCTTGTTATCAGCGCTCAGTTCAAAAGCATGTATCTCTGATGGTATAGGGGTGCATTAGTGTGTATGGAATGGGCAGCTTGCACATCTGGAAAGGCGCCATCAATGCTGAAAGATAAATACAGGTTTTAGAGCAGCATATGCTCCAGACGACGTCTTTTTCAGGGAAGGCCTTGCATATTTCAGCAGAACAATGCTAAACCGCACACTGCAACTGTGACAACAGCATGGCTTCTTAGTAGAAGAGTCTGGGTGCTTGACTGCCCTGCCTGCAGTCCAGACTTTTCACCAATTGACAAAGAAGACCCAGGACTGTTGAGCAGTTAGAACCTATATCAGGCAAAGTGGGACAACATTCCTTTCCCAAAACTCCAGCAATTGGTCTCCTCAGTTCCCAGACGTTTACAGAGTGTTGTTAAAAGAAGATTGGATGCTACATTGTGGTAAACATGGCCCTGTCCCAACTATTTTGAGGTGTGTTGCTGCCATCAATTTCTAAATCTCCTACTTATTTTTTTTCTTAAAATTGTAAATTTTCTCAGTTTAAACATTTGACATGTTTTCTATTACCTATTGTGAATAAAATATAGGTTTATGGGATTTGCAGATCATTGCCTTCTGTTTTTATGTAGATTTTACACTGCGTTCCAACTATTTTGTAATTGGGGTTGTACAATATATAAAACAGTGTTTGTTTATATGATTCTAAAATCATCTTGTTTTCATGAAGAGTTTCTGCAGATCCATCAGAGAAAGAGAAACTGAAAAAACAGGCGTTGGATCTCTCTCTGAAGTTCAAGTTTGTGACTCCTTTAACATCTATGGTGGTTACAAAACCTGATGAGATAGAGGAAGAAACATTAGTTGCTGATAAATTTGTTGAAGGTACGAATGTTAAACATGCTTGTATTCCATATGTACACTAGCTCTTTCCCCCACTTACTTTGCCGTTTTCATCTTCCTTCCATCTTTTCTTTCTTCTTTCCTTCCTCACTTCCTCCCAGTCCTTTCCTCTCCTTCCTCATTTCCTTCCTCTTCCCTTTACTTTTTTTTATTTTCTGCTTTTATTCTCTTTTTAGCTCTCTCTATTACTCCTTTCTTTCTTCCTTGCTTTCCTCCCTTTCCTCTGTTTTTATATTCTGTTTTAATTTGTATCTCTCTCTCTATGACCCTGCTGCTTACTTTATCTTTTACTCTCCCCCTCTATCTTCTCTTTTTCTCTCTTTCTCTGCCGCTCTCTGTGTGGACCTTAGAGGTCCTAACCTTTTTCACCCTACTGAAAAGCATTTTCCTTCTAGCCTTGCCCCCATTGGAGACATTTTCCATTACGTCCTGTTTCTCTGTTCCCAAGACAGGGAGCGAGGGGAAATCCACAGTGGAGAAGCAGATAACAGTTTTCATTGGAGCTGGGCATGAACAGGTTTCATACAAATGTTAGCTTTAACTATAAAGCTAGGTCATTTTTTGATCAAGTAGGAAAAGGTTACATATCTTTATCATACTTTTATTGCTGTCTTTGTCCCAGTAGCATTGCACGGATCCTCTCCTGATCACAGTAGTACAGATCAGTTGTCACCACTGTGACATTGGTGTCTGTACAGTTTTTTCCTCTATCGACAACATGTCAGTCTATGGGGAATCGGATGTAAACAGTGTCCATTTACATCAGATTACCCCCGATCTGGCGACACGGATCTCTGATCCATTCATTTTTCCGCCCCCGGCTAGAGTCAGGAGTAACTGAGTGTAAATGGACGCTCGTCCATTTACACATCGCCGTTCATAGACTTACATTGGGCATCTGATCGGGTTCGCCTGAAAAACTGAGAGGCGGACCTGATGTGAAAGGGGCCTTACAGACAGCAAAAAAAAACTGACAGCTATTCTAGCCTTTTACTGTTTAACTAATAAAACATGTTTTAGGAGATTCTTCTCATTTTCTGCCACAGTGACCTAACAGGAAATGAAGGGGAATCTCCTGATACTTATTAATGGAACTAATTCAAAGAACTGCCATATTTTTTGTCTTATTCATATTGTTTTATCAATGTTACAGATTAAAAATTGATTTGTAGAATATTCATGTACTGATTTTTTTTTTTTTCCTTTTTCTGAAAAACTCAATATTTCCGTCTGTTTTTATACACAAGGAGAATGTAAGTATTATCTCTTTTAAATTGTACTACCTTCATAATGATTTTTAGGTACAGTAACTTCACCTGGAAGGGATAGAAATCGAATTGAATTATGTAGACAGTTATTCTGTCAAAACTTTATTTAACAATAGAGGCTGTCTTCACATGAATTCTTTTTCCCCTATTGGAGGAAATTGAACCATGCTTTATAGGGGTTTTTTTCTTTGCCTTCCTCTGGATCAACAGTGGGTAACTGAGGGCATAGTATTCTGTTTTTTTTAAAAGAGATAAGTGTGGGTTAGAATCATTAGCCTGGACAGTATAATTGCTTTTGGCATTTCAAGGGCCAATGTCAATGGCCTTTTGTTCACACCAGAGCTGCTTCTCTCCTCTTACAAGTCCATTTCAGAGTAAGGATTTTAACATTAACTCTTGATAAACTGTGTAATGTATTAAAGGGCTAATAGGCAATGGATTGTGTAACAAAGGCTATGGGTAGCTGAGCACTGCCAGGGTAGACATGTAGCAATGCATAAAAAACAAGTGTAAAAAAAATATGCTTTGAGGAGCAGCTCTTTTATTAATGCTTTCAGTAAAGGGCAACATTAGAAAGGCACAATTCCTTTTATGCTTGAGGGATGCCCTAATCCTGCCTGTGAAGTGGTGCATCTGCTCGAAGTATACTGCACAGCAAAACTGACATTTACCAAAACATTTTTTAAAACACACTTTAAAAAAAAAAAATACCATTTTAAATGCCCACAAATTATATTTCTCAGCTGCTTTACAAAGTGGCCAAGATGATATTAAACTATGACAGGTATTTATTCCTTAATCCAAATAACATTCATAAATACCACAGACATAATAAAAAAAAAAAAAAAACCCTGACATAGGGTTGAACCCCAAAATCCATATCAGGCTCTTTCGGTCTTTGGAAATGAATTCAGGTTTGGTCCAAACCCAAAGCTCATTACTACTGGACATCACAACCAGCATGAGTAGTACAGAGACAAGACAAACAGGCAAACACTCATACACACAATCACACACTCCTTCCCCCTCAGCCCATTATACCTTCATAGAGGCAAACCCTGAATTCATAAAAAGTGTTGTAGACACATATGGGCACATGAATCTGTCACCAGTACTGGATCTGAGCCTGGAGTGTCCATACCTGACCGTGCAGCTGTGCAAAAAGCACAAACAAGGGGCGTGACCCCGGAAACGCGTTATCATCACAGCCTACCTTGCTGGTACACAGGCACGGCTGTGCAGCTATCACTGGCTTCTTCTTTGGTCCATGTATTCACTTACAATGCTTTAATCATGTCGACCTTTGTGAGTATGTTTCTCATCCACTATTGTTTTTATCTTAAATAAATTTGTCTGCACCAGGAAAGGCGCCCCTCGTTTGTGCTTTTTCCCCAGATTTTGCAGTCCCCCTGGTTGGTTTGGGGCAGCGTCCTGCAGATTTTCTATTACATCCCTCTCTTTTAAAACAGACTTTGCACTCAATTGCACACTTGTTATTCTGGTGGAGCAGTCCCATTTGGCGCTTTTTTGTTCATAAGTGCAGCTGTGCAGTTCAGTAATGCTGGGATTCAGAAAATCACATGTTTAGAATTGCTGAGCTTCCGGCCCGGCAACTGCACCTGTCACACATACAGGCACAGTGGGCTGGATTTTTGCTGTGGTTGGGCGTAGCCTGATGGAGAACTCATAGAAAGAAGTTCCCCATCAGATCTGCAACCCTTGTGACTGACAGCAGATGGCAGTGGGTGGATTCCATAGCCTTGCTTAAGAAAAAAAAGTGTTGTGCATGCTTTACTGAATACCCCACCTCCATTATGACGGTATTAATATACACAACTTCATTAATCAAACAATACATTGAGAAGGAGTAATCACAAACGTAGCAGCTAGCTGCTGCAACCTAAATCTTGTCAAACTTTTAGGGATAGGCATGACCAGCATAATGGATAAGTGAGCTCTCCTTCTGCAAGCAACACTTGCAATGCTTTTCTGGAAATACAGGGTGGAGAGTTAGACCAAATAATTGAGGGAATAACTGCATTTTTATCTCAGAGCTAAATAAGTTCTGGTCTAGGTCCTGTAGTCTTTAAGTGGGACAAAGCCTCCATTCCTAGGTCCACATCTTACCTGGTAGCCAAACCTCAATATTAGCCAGATGTACTCCTCCCTCCTCAGGAGATGTCATGCTGCATGGGAGCAGTGTGGCCAGGCAGACACTTGGAGAGTGCCTGAATTGACCAATGACGCCTGTGAGTTGATATCTGTGCAGTGGTAGACTCTTGGACTGTGTGGACCAAGATAGCCAGTAGGATAAAACAGTTTATTTTGTTTTATGTGATGTTGGCAACCCCTACAAGGGAAAACCTGATGTAAAGGAACTTTTATTTTAATTAAAAGTGGGTGGAAAAGCCCTAATTGAATATTAAAGAACTTGAAGCTACCCACGTTTGAAGTGAACACATAAGCACTACACATTCCAAACCACAATCCCAATCTGAAACCAGAAAGTTCTCCTAGATGTTAGTCAAAAGACCCTTTGGTTCCTGGATCCAGCTCATCAATTATGAGGCAACCCATAAAAGTTGGGATACTGTGTAAAATCTACATAAAACAGAATGCAATGATTTGCAAATCAAATGTTTAAACTGAGAAAATGTACCATTTTATGAATAAAAATAAGGTAATTTTGACATTGATGGCAGTAACACCTCTCAAAAAAGTTGGGACAGGGCCATGTTTACCACAGTGTAGCATCCCCTCCTCTTTTAACAACACGCTGTAAATGTTTGGAAACTGAGGAGACCAGTTGCTGGAGTTTTGGAAGAAGAATGTTGTCCCATTCTTGCCTGATATTATATTCTAACTGCTCAAAACGTCCTGGGTCTTCTTTGTCGTATTTTTCTTTTCAAGATACGGCAAATATTTTCAAATGGTGAAAGGTCTGGACTTCAGGCAGGTCAGTTAAGCCCCTGGACTCTTCTACTACAAAGCCATGCTGTTGTCTTAGATCCAGTATTCGGTTTAGCAATGTCCTGCTGAAACATGCAAGGCCTTCCCTGAAAAAGACATTGTCTGGATGGAAGCATATGCTGCGCTAAACCCTGGATATATCTTTCAGCATTGATGGTGCCTTTACAGATCTGCAAGCTGCCCAATCCATATGCACTAATGCACCCCCATACCTTTAGAGATGCAGGCTGATAACAAGCCGGAAGCTCCCTCTCGTCTTTAGTCCAGAGGATGTGGCACCCCTGGTTGCCAAAATGAATATCAAATTTCGATTTATCTGATCACGAACAGTTTTCCACTTTGCAACAGACAATTTTAAATGAACTTTGGCCCAGAGAAGGTGGTGGCATTTCTGGATCATGTTCAGATATTGCTCTTTTTTTGCATGATAGAGCTTTAACTTGCATTTTTGGATGGCACGGCAAACTGTGTTCACAGACGGTCATTTTTGGAAGTATTCCTGAGCCCGTGCAGTGATGTCCATCACAGAATCATGCAGTGATGGCTGAAAATCACGGGCATCCAATATTGCATTTTAGTCTTGTCCCTTGCACACAGAGATTTCTCCAGATTCTTGGAATCTTTTGATGATATTATGTACTGTAGATGATGATATATTTAAAGTATTTGCAATTTTACATTCTGGAACATTATTCTTAAATTGTTCAACAATGTTTAGACGTAGCTTTTCACAGATTGGTTAAC